CAATAGGCTGCAGATCCCTGAGGTGCTGTAGCTTTGCGTCTCCGCAAGCAAAACAAGAAGCCTGCCGACAGATTTTTGAACCCCCCCCAAAAAAGTTCCTTTAAATGTGGGGGGTTTGTCCCATACGAAATCCACCCTAATGGAAAGTAGTCTTCCGGCGGGCTTCCGGCCAAAAAAAATTTCTTTAAATGTGGGGGTATTAATTAAACTGATGCTCGGATTAAGAGAAGGGCCTTTCAGGGGCGTGTAGGGTTTGGGCGGTTGGGCATGTCAGGGTGTAGGGGTTTGGGGGGTTGAGGATTTGGGGTTTGACCTGGGGTCTTGAGACCTTTGGGGCAATGGAACCCCTTAGTTCCTTCAAAAATCTCACGTTTAGGGTTTGGGGTTTAGGGTTTAGGGGTGTTTTTGGCTGTTCCTTTGGTGCTCTTGGGGGGGCCTTCCTTGAAAAAGCAACACTCGGCTCTAGGCTTCTGGGGGTTGTTGAGCCAGGCACTTCTCTTCATGGCAGGTGCAAAACCTGACATCCCAGCACTCTACGCCCCAATCCCAAAGCGCCAAAGAGCACGCAAACCCTAATCTAAACCCCCACTCCCACACTCACCCCCCCCCCCGCCCCCACCCCACCCACCCACAGACCCAACAAAGAAAAGGGAGCAAAAGGGCTAAGGCCTTTCCGCCAGGAGCTGAGGAACTTGCAGGAGGACCGTTTCACACGCGCCGCGTTTCATGTTCCCTCGTTGTTTAAGGTCGCAGGATCCAGGTTTCGGGTTTAGGGCTTTAACGCTGTTGGTTCCAGAGTTTCAGGAGCCGTCTGTGCAAGAAGCCAGTTCTGTGGATGACTGGATGCGGGCCTTTGGTGTTTAATTGTGCGTTTTGGGGGGGGTTTAGGATTCAAGGTTCAGGGTCGGAGGGTTGGAGATCCAGTTTGGGGGGGCGGGGGTTGAGGGTTTCCTGAGCTCGGGTTTTGTTACTGAGTGTACAAGCCCTGGAGCCTTAGCCTCCAAAGGCTAAACCCGAAACCCCTAAAGCTGACTAACCTTAGACCCTGAGAGACCCTTATAGAGACCCTTAAAGACTCTTAGAGACCCTTGGAGACCCTCAGAGAGACCCGTAGACCCTTAATGTAGAGGCCCTTAGAGAGACCGTAGGGGTTTTTAGGAATCCTTGGAGACCCTTAGAGACCCCTAAACCCTAAACCCTAAACCCTAAACCCTAATCCCTAAACCCTAAACCCTAAACCCTAAACCCCAAACCCCACCATCCACGTGCCAGGAGCTGCGGGCACTGCGCGCGGAGAAAGAGACGTCCGCCAAGGCTCAGGCGGGGTTCAAGAGTCCGATGCCCGAGATGCCTCCAGGGGATTTGGGAAAACTAGAGTCTCCAGGCCTTGGGGTTCAGGAGTTTAGGAGTTTAGGGTTAAGGCGTTTCGGAGCTCAGGGTTCAGGAGCTTTGGGTTTGGGGTTTAGAGCTTCCTTGGAACCCTTGTTCGCAGCAAGGGTCAGCTATATTTTGTGGGTTTGGGTTAGGGCCACTACCCTAACAAGCCCTATAAGCCCTCAAACGAAAAAATCCTGATATCCTATGGGCCTGGGCCCAGCATCCGTGGAGATGAACCCCCTCTTGCTAACCTTGATCCCACTCGTGGGTCCTTTTTGCAGGAGGAACTCCAGCAGCAACTGAAGGAGCCTTCGACGCATCATCGGTCCCTATCGTTTAGGGTAGTTAGGGTATATGGGGGGGGGGGGGCTTGAAGGTTCAGGGTGTGTCGGTGGAGATGTTGGGGTTGGGAGTTGGGGGGGTGGGTGGTGGGGGGGGGAAGTCCTCAAATACCTACCGCATCTTGCAGGGCGCGCCGCTGTTGGGCGCCTCTGCCGGCGCGAACTATAACCTAGCCGAAGCTCGAAACCCGGGAAGCTCTAATCCCAAAAACCCAAAACCTCGAGCCAGGCCTTGAACTTTGAGCCGAGGTGAATCTACAAGCCCTGTAGCCCTAAACTCTGAGAAACTCGAAGAGTCCAAACCCTAGACCCCACCAGTTCCTCTATGATGTTGGCTCTGAGGGTTTGTAGGTTTCCAGGCTTCATGGGATTTCCAGCTTTAAGTTTTTTTTTTGTTGCCTTTGGGTTGGGCCTTGGGGATTTGGCAGGTTTGGGGTTCGGCTTAAACGCGCGCAGGCCCTGAACCTTGAAGTGCTTCGTAACGCTACAGGATATCTGAAGAAATCCCAACCCCAACAAGCCCTACAGGCAGTCTAAACGCCCGAAACACCTGAAGGCCTAAACCCTGAAAGACGCCAAGCCCTGAACTCCCTTTCTGCAAGTAGAGCTTGGGGCGTTCCCCCTTACACGAACAGTTCTTAACAGGGATGATAATGGGGGGTTACTATAATCCCTATTCAGGACGGTTAGGAGACGGGGAACACATCCCAAAGTAAAGCCCCCCCAGGAGGCCAACTTGGCAACCAAGAGGGCAGAGCGCGAGAAGCGTGAGGCCATCGCCGAGGCAAGGGGAGGGGGGGGGGGGGGTTAGGGTTTAGGGGGTTTAGGGTTTAGGGTTTGGGGTTTGGGGTTTGGGGTTTAGGGCCTAGGGTTTAGGGTTTAGGGTTTAGGGGGGTTCGGGGTTTACGGGGAGGGGGGGGGGGAGATTCAACGCATAGCCTGAAACCATAAGTCCTCATCCTTGCACTCTTTGGACTGTATCCCATGACTGAGTGACTGAGTGGTAGTCTCCCAAAAATTCAACAAGGCGCATTCCAAACCCCAAAAAGCCTTAGACCCAAACCCTAAGACCTAAACCCTGAACCCTAAACCCTGAACCCTATTCCGCCCTCGAGCGCCCGAGTAAGTTGCCTCTCTCGAGGCCGAGCGGCTTGATGCCCTGGAAGTGCCGCGGCTGAACTGCTCCGAAACTTCTACGAAGCCCTGAGCCCGCGAAGCCGCCAAAAACCCTTAACCCTAAACCCCGTCAATCGCCAAAGCCCAAAGCCCAATACGGGGGTTTAGGTTTGAGAGTTTTGGTTTCAGGGTTTCGGGCTTGGGGTGTCTTACTCCCGACCTGAGGGGCGGCTCTAGGCGGAGTTTTGGGTGGCAAAACGCTCAACCCTAAACCTTCAGCCCTGTTTCCCGTAACCCCTAAACCACCATAAACCCCCCATAAGTCTTATAAAAACACCCCTCCTCCCTCTGCAGCCCGCCAAAGGATGAGCAGCAGCGTGCAGACCTGGAAGCAGAGAAGGAGCAGGCAGGCGAAGGATCTGGGGGGGGGGGGGGGGGGGGGGGGGGGAGCCCAAACACCGAACCCTCAACACTAGACCCCAAGACCCTATGCCCAAAATTCTTCAGAGTTGACAGCGTTCCCTCCAGAGAGGCCCGGAAGGAGCAGGAAGGGAAGGCGCAGAAGCAGGCGGAGGAGCACGAAGCCGAGCCCTTCGGCCGCGTCCTTCGGGCTTTAGGGCTTAGGGGTTTAGGGGGTTTTGGGGTTGAGGGTGAGGTGGTTCAGGGGGTTTAGGGGGTTTAGGGGGTTCAGGGGGTTTAGTGGGTTTAGGGGGTTTAGGGTTTAGGGGTGTAGGGTTTATAGGGTTCAGGGCCATATATGAGGAATTCTTCAAGCTAGAGCTGACCCGACCTTTAATATGGCACATGCAGACACCGCGTTGTAGCGCAAAGGCTTAGAATTTGGAGGTCCAAGCGCTGATTGGCACAGAAAGCTGCATTTGTTTGGCCCAGGGTTGGTGTTTGGTTTCCCCTGGCACCCTAACCCCAAATCCTAACTAAACCCTAAACCCTTTACCCCTTAACCCTAAACCCTAAAACACCCTAATACCCCCAAACCCTAAACCTTACCCCAATTCCAAAGCCCACACGGACTCCTGGTGTCTTGTTGGGGACCTTGCGAGGAAGAAAAGGCTCCAAGAGGAGGAGCGCAAGAAGCGCGTGGAAGCCAAGCAGCATTTCGAGGCGCCTGCCCGGAGAGGGCTGTGGGTTTCTTTATGCGGGCTTTGGGCTTATTGGGGTTAAAATGGGTTTCTATAGGGTTTAGGGCTTAGTCAGCAAAATTGGCTTTGCGGAAGCCGGTGGAGGGTTGGGTGGGGGAGGGTGTTCCAACATGCGCGCCGTTTCTGTGCCAGTGCGGCACATTCCCTGGATGAGTACACTACAAATCGACCAACTATAGTTCCCAATAGAAGTGGCCAACCCTAAACCCTAAACCCTCAACCCTAAACCCTAAACCCTATACCCTATACCCTATAAACCCTAAACCCAAGCCATCCCAACTTTCGATCCGGGGCTCCGACTGTGTGTGGCCCGGCCAACAACGATGTTCACGACAACGACCACCTCAACACCTCGACTGTGTCTTGGAGGACAGATCGTTTGTGCAAGGGTGGGGATTGCACGAAATGAAGCAGGAATCAGAGAAGTGTGCAAGCCTTGATGTGAGAGGGTGCAAATCAGTGAACCTTGATATTTCCCTAATCCCTAAACCCTGTTCAGGGTTCGACCCTGAGGAAAGGCAAGCTCTGAGCTGGTTCTACCTGGGAGGCGTTTGGCTCTAGTGTGCCGTGATTTTTATAGATCCACCTCACCCCATTTCGAACGCTATACGCCTAGCCCCGGCATCATGCTTGCCGCGACATCGAGCGAATATCCCTCATACAGGCTGCAAAGGCTACAGCACGATTTCGAAGAAGAGCTGGCTTCGCCAGCTGGGATGCAGCACCTCCGCATGATGCATCAGACGATGATGGACCTCAGCGGCTTGGCTGACACGTGCCGCGCACGCAGCGCCACACACAACATCTTTCGTTCCGTTAGCGAAGGGCTCGGCTTTGCGGCGGGCGTCACCGGCCTGGTCGGGCTTGGAATCATCACTGGCGGAGTGGCATCCGCGGCAGCAGTGACTCTGGGCACTATCGGGACCATTGGTGGTGCCGCCAGCGGAGTTGTCTCATTTGGCAACGTTCTAGTGCAGATTGGCATGGAGAAAGAAAGGCGGCCAGAATGCAGGAGTATCTTCAGACCGTCAGTCCCATCTTGGAGACGTGGGAGGCAAGGTACATGGAGATCCTGGAGGCAGCGGAGCATCCCGATGTGGAGCACCAAACCTTACATGAACACTTGATCCCCGTCTGCAGGCACTTCCGAGACGCCGTTGTCGCAGGCAAGGAGATCGCAGGGTGCATTGCAGACATTGGCTCCGAGGTTGCTGAGATCACCGCCAAAAAGGGTTTTCTAGGAATCACATCGCCGGTTGCGCGGTCCTTGGGCATGGCTGTTGGTGCATCCTTCGCCCTCGTATCCCTCGCGGACTCCATCAACGGCGCGCTTGCATGCAATGCCGGAGCATCCGAGATAGCGGATCGGATCGATGCGGTGGCAGACAAGCTGGCCATCGCCTTGTACCGCTTCCGTTCCTTCATGAGCAGCCCCGTGCTGGACAACGCCATCGACATCCCGCAACTCATGAGGATTCGCCTCGGCCTGAAGTTGAGCAGGTCTTCCTACCTCATCGGTGACCGGGCCCTTGGGTTATGATGTTCCTTCATGTGGGTTCAAGAGGATGCTGTTTAGCGGCAATGTTGTTCTTTCGCATAGTTCAAGAATCAACCTAGGCGATTGGCCCGAGGAAGTCGAAGGATACTTTACGGTCAAACTCCCAGATGGTCGAATCGTCCGATCTGCAGAGTTTGAGGTGAAGTTCCATTCTGCAGATGCAGACGACATGGCAGTAGTAAGCCGGAACATGGTCATTCTTACACGGATTAAGGATCTTGACCTGGGCGCCCTGACCTGCTACATTCAGGCCCGCGCTCGCACTGGAGGCCTTCGCAAGATGATGTTGGGAGACTCCGCCTTGTCTGAAGAATGCAAGTTCGTGGGGCCTGGTCTACATGAGCATGCGTCGCAGTATTCAGGCTACCGGTGCGCAATCTCGACGCTGCCGCGCCATGCGAGTCCAGGTCCTTGAGGCTTTGTAGGCTGTCTGCTGTGTGCCTGTGCGGCACATGCCTCGCTATTTTCCGGTGAAGGGCAACTGCCTCGCACATTTGATGCAAGCCCACGTCCCGGCTCAAGGTGCCCAGAAGGGGGAAATCAGCATCTTTGGTGCTCTTGTATACTCTCTACGAAACCCCAAGAGAAGACCCCCCCAACCATAAAGCCCGACCGCTGTGACCGGTCTATGATGTAAGCCAGAGGATAGGGGACAACGGGTCAGATGTGCACACGTGGCATGCTTTTAAGTTCCGACTTGGAACTTAGAAGTTGGCACCAGGCACATTTTAATCTTTTCTAGGGAACTCATTCCCGTTTCCGAACCCTCAAGCGTGTGTGAGGGAGACACATTTCTTCACCGCCTCCTTCGCCTGCCAAATCACTCGTCTGCCTATGGTGTAGCGTTTTGTGGCTTAGCAGTTCTAGGGGTTCAGGGTTTAGGGGTTTACGGTTTGGGATTTACAAGGTTTAAATTCAAGGTCTTCGAGTTTGGACCTGGCGGCTTGGGTATGTTTAGGCTTTAGGACCTAAGCTTTTGGATTTGGGGCTCAGGGTGTTGCATGCTGCACGGCGTTGTGAAACTAAGCCCATCTGGCTGGCTTCTCAGGAGCTTCATGTATATAGGTTACCGTACTAGAAGAAAACCTGCATTTGCTTACTGTTTTCCATTTGCTGGTACCCCCTAACTTCCCTAACAGCTTTCTCACCTTATGACCCTCCATTGCCACTGCAGGAGACGTTGCACAGGCTCCTCCACAAGCTCTGCAGCAACTACCTTTACAATGGGATGGTTCGCGAAGTCCGTTTTCCGTTTCAAAGTGACAAAAACAAATTCACCACACCACCTCAGATCTTGAAAGATGTTCGTTTATTCAGGCTCTCTACGCAACGGAGATGTTGTCCGGGTTTGTTCTCTTCTTTTAGCTGCATACCTGCATGCTAGTACGACGTACGTATGCTTTCATGTCCATACGCCGCAATAAGCCCAGATGGGCCATGCAGTGAATGATTGCCGCAGGAAGGGTTCAGGGTGCAGCAAGACCCTCTTCTTCCAGCAAACCGAACCCCTAATCCCCAAACCCTAAGACCTCAACATCCTAAACCGCATACAGCCCCACAAGCCCAAAACCCTAGACTCTCTTCCCGCCGCGGGCGGGCTCAAGTTTCAGCTGCTATTAGGGACGCGCCCTGGGAGACCCCGTTGGAGAGAGCCAGGGAGCTATGGCCTACGTGCGCCCGTGTCTTTGCGTGAGTTGGTGGGAGAGGGGGGGGGGGGGGCGTTCTTTGGGGTTCGATTGTTTTTTTTTTCAGGGCTCAGGGTTTTTGGCTAAATTTCGGGGGCCGTACCAATGAGAGACGTAAGCCCCTGTTTCGCCATAGACCCTATAGAAGCCTATAAGCATTGGTCTTCAAAAGCCTCAGCGTTTCTGGTCAAACCCCAGCGAACCCCAAACCTTCCTTACATCAGCGGATCACTTTGAGGCACATGGAGGACTACCAGCAGGTCACAGGCCAGATTGAGGCCATTTCTGGTGGAGACTGTGACGTGCATCCCCTTGGTGAGTTGGGGCTTAGCTTAGGGTTTTGCCTAGGGTTTAGCTTAGGGTTTCGCTCAGGGTTTAGTTTCGGGTTTAGCTTAGAGTTTATTAGTTTAGGGTTTAGTTTAATTAGGGTTGAGGTGGCAAGGGCTTTGGAGGCTGGTCTGCATTTCGATTTTGTGGATACCCAAAACATGAGGAACCCAATGTGGTCTAGTCATGAAGTTGCAGGTTGCGGGGTGTTAAGGGTTTCGGATTTTAGTGGACCCAAGGGGTCTCCATGCACACCCTACACCCCAACCTCAAACCCTAAACCCCTAAACCCCTAAACCCCTAAACCCCTAAACCCCTAAACCCCTAAACCCCTAAACCCCCCAAAACCCCCTAAACCCCCTAAACCCCCTAAACCCCCCAAAACCCCCTAAACCCCCTAAACCCCCCCCCTAAACCCCTAAACCCCCTAAACCCCTAAACCCCTAAACCCCTAAACCCCTAAACCCCTAAACCCCCCAAAACCCCCTAAACCCCCTAAACCCCCTAAACCCCCTAAACCCCTAAACCCCTAAACCCCTAAACCCCTACACCTTGCGGTACAGAGCTTCAGGGCTTTCACCGGGGAAGGGCAAAAGGGTGCCTTCCCTGCAGGAAAAGGCAGACCCCATCCCTAGGCCCTAAACCGTAATTACTAAAGAGGTTTGGGGTTGAGGCGTCGATGGTGTGGGTCTTAGTGATGTTTAGGGTTGTACATTGTCTGGCAGGTGTTGGTCCGAAGCATCGGGGGAACAACCCTCACATACAACATGGCCCCTCGGCAATGGCGAGTTGGTAGGGTTTTTTTTCGGCTGCCGAACCCGTGCCTACAGGAGTTGTTCGGAGGCTTGTGTAAACAATTTCGCAAGTCGCAGGAGCTTTGGTATCTACCGAGTGTAAGAGGAGTTCTGCAGGGTTTGCCGGGCTCAGTCAGCAGAAGGATTTTGGCTAGGTTCAGGAAGGCCGTCGGTGTCCTGTCAGCCCACTCAACACATCTTGTTACTCAAAAAGCCCTCTCGACCTGTCGACTCAACACTGTCAAGCCCTACCCCCTTATACCCCCCTTTATACCCCACTTACACCCCCTATGCCCTCTTAATACCCCTTTAATACCCACATACCACTTTTATAACCCCCCCCCCTGCAACCCCCCCAACCCCCCCCACACCCTGAGAAGTGACCAAATCACGGCGCTGCCACCCAATGCCGAGGACAAGACCGCCATCATCGGAGACTTGAAGCAGCGGATAACAAAACAGACCGGAGCACCTGGGCCGGCTTTGGGGGTTCGGGGTTGTGGGGCTTAGGGTTTGGGGTTCAGGGTTTAGGGTGTGGGGCTGTAGAGTTGAAGGGGATTGGCGGATGTTGAGGCAGCGGGTGCAGTGAACACAAATGACACAATACAAATGGTCTACTAAGGTTTATTCTTGACTCTCTCTCTCTCTCTCTCTCCCTCTCCCTCTCTCTCTCGATGCCTCCATACATATATATGATGTGTATCATCGCAGGGTACTGTGCAGGCCTTAGAGCCAGAGCTACGATCTTGAATCCCCGAACCCAGTAGAGCCCAGAACCTCCAAGGCCAGGCACAATCAGAAGAAGGAACCACACCCTGAACCCGCTTCCGGGCCCTAAACCCTAAACCCTAAACCCTAAACCCTAAAATAGACTCCAGAGCCATCGGGTCAGTTGAGCCCGCAGTAGCTGAAGTTCTCTTAGCAGCGCTCCGATTCCCGGTTCCTAGTCACAATGCAGCTTCTCTCTTTGAGGGGTCCTTGAAGATTAAACCCGACATGCCAAGCCCGAAAAACTAACACTCTGTAATCCGTAAAACCATAATCTCCCTGAGCCCTGAACTTTATAAACCCTCAAAACCCACAATTGTCAACGCCGCGGCAGGGTGTGGAGGCTTCTAGGCCATCGGATAGGATCACAAAAGCCGTGCAAAGCCTCAAACGCCACAAAACCCTATTCTACCTATATTAAGGCCCCTATATTCGCCCTATAAAGCCCAAGCCCTAAACCCAAACCGAATGGCGCTGCAAGCCCTGAGAACTCCAACAGCCTGAAGCATTCCGAGGTGAAGTACCACGAGATCCGGCTTGTGGCAGCTTGGCCTTTGAAGCAGATTTGCAACAGAAGACGGCTTTTCCAGATACAACGTTTATGGTTTAGGGCTTTCAAGGTTAAAAGCATATGGTACGTTACCAGAAAATGCCAACAACATCTCGTTCTGTATAGTCGCAAGATGACGTGCCGCTGCTGTTTGTTGTTGTTCCCTTAAACCCTAGACGCTTGTTGCTGTGGCCGTTTTGGAACAGTCGAGTGTAGGTGGGTTTGTGGCTGCCGACGCCGTATGAGCGATTTGTGACATGGCTTGATGCTGACCTTTAACCCTGAGCCCGAAGAAACACTGAGTAAATCCTAAATGCTGGAGTCTTAAACCCCAGCATCCTCATCTCCAAAAAGCTCTAAACCCCAAACCCCCAGTCTTGAGTCCTCAGCCCTCAACCCTCACAAAACCCTGAAGCCCTGAAGCCCTGAAGCCCCCAAGCGCCGCAGTTGCAACACCAGCAAGCCGAGCCTGACACCTTCGAGAAAATCTACAAGCGCCTCGGCGGTTCAGCAGGGGTTTAGGGTTTAGGGTTTAGGGTTTAGGGTTTAGGGTTTAGGGGAGGGGGCGGGGCCTTTGCTGGCTGAGTGGTCCCCAAGGGGCCTCGTGGTGTTTGGGGGGTTGAGGGATTGGGGTTTGGGTTTTGAGGTTTACGGTTTCAGGGTTTCGGGTTAAGGGTTTGGAGTTTAGTTGAAGGGTTAAGGGTTTGGTGTTTAAGTCTGAGGGTTTGGGGTTTAGGGTTTGCGTTGAGATTTCGGGTTGACCAGTGGCGCCCACATTTCTTTCGTGGCATGCAACTGTAAGCCCCCCGACTTCAACCCAAAACCCTAAAACCCTAAAGCCTGAAACCTTGAAAACCTCAAGCCCTAAGCCCTAAAAGTTGTTAGTTAGGGTGTAGGGTTTGGGGCTTGGTCCGAAAATCCCGGAACCTCATCGAAAGCTCCGAATGAAGCCGGTGTCGCAGGTACGCGACACGGGGAAGCCCCCTTGAAATGAGCCTCGTCGTGCCTGCGCCCGATAGGGAGGGGGGGTTCAACGTTGGCAGGGTTTGAGCTTCAGGGTATACAGGGGTAACCCTAAACCCTAAACCCTAAATCCTAAACCCTAAACCCTGAAACAATTATAGTAAGAGGCTTTGGGGATTTGGCGATCCCTGAACCCCAAACCCTATACCACGTCAAAGTACTCCCGCGAGTTCTGCAACTCTGCTCACCTCAGAATACGTGTCTTCCGCAAACAGCCTTTAAATTCGAGAGTAACAGGGTGTAGGGGAATGGTTCTAAAGTTACAGGGTGTAGGGGAATTCTGGCATCCCTGCCGCAGTAAAAGTTGAAGGAGGCTTAAGGTTTAGGGGCGGTTTTTGGGGTCTAGAGCTTGGAATGTTGGGGTTAAAAAAGTGTTTAGGGCCGTTGCGGAGTGTCTAGAAGGGCTTCGGGAGAGGAGGGAGCGCGTTTGGGGGCTCAGGATTCAGTCAGCGGTCGTAAGGTTGCGTCGCAATATGAGCCCGAAGAGAAGTTGCGAACCTTAGACCGTGACACCCTCTTATGAGCATCTTTGGGGAACCCAGAACCCTAAGCCCCATATCTAAAACCCTATCTACACTGTCGACACTCAAGGTGATGCCCTCCTGCCGATGGTGCAACGTCCACCTCACTGCCGCCACGACGACGGTGGAGACCGACATCGGGGAGTACTGCACCTCGCCACTGATGGGTTTGGGGGTTTAGGGAAATGTGTGGGTTTAGGGTTGAGGGTTCGGGGTTTGGGGTATAGTGTTTGGGGGTGTGGGGTTCAGGGTTTAGGGCTCAGAGACACCTCGCTACTTATGGCATGGGGCTGAGAGGTAGCTTTGAGCTTCAGCTGAGCTCCTGAAAACCCAAACCCAACAAAAATCTTCACGAAAAAGACTCGAAGTAGGCCTTAAAATCCCCAACTCGTGCTGCCACCCGAAGCCATGAATCGACTGCCGGACCCTGCAGCCCTGGAGTCCCAAAGGACAGGGTTTCGGGAAGTCATCCCCAAACCTGCAACAGAAGCAACCCTTTAAAAACTGTAGCAAGAAAAAAACACCTAAAGGCCCCAGACACCCCAAAGGCCCAACCCTTAAGCACAAAAAACCCTAAACTTCTACGAGTCCGGGGTCTCCTCAAGCAGGCTCGCAGCGATGCCATGCCTTGATGAGCCGCCACTTTGCTGCCCTGAAGCCCCTGGGAGGTTTCGGGGTTTGTCACGGTTTTCGGGGCTTTGGGGTCCCTAAACCCTAAACCTTGAACCCTGAACTCCGAACCCTAAAACAAGGGTCTCCGGATTTAGGGTGATAGAGCCGGCTTCGGGGTTGAGGGTGCAGGATTTTATGAATTTCCCCATCCGCGCCGAAACCTAGAACCTAGAAGGTCCTACTGCAAGTTAGGTGGCGTGCTCCCTTCTTCTTTGTTCAGGGTCGTTCCATTCTACTTACAGGGCGGACCCAGATTGTTTGTGAAAGCGCTGCCATGCTGACAGGTCCAAAGACAGTGCCTAAACCCCAAGACCCTTAAAACCCAAGACCCTTAAAACCGAAACCCTAAACCCTACACCCTAAACCCTAAACCCTAAACCCCAAACCCTAAACCCTAAACCTTATAAACCATAAACCTTATACCCCTCAAGGAGAGCTGCAAGATCCCAACAGCGTCTTCGCCGTCTTCGGGATCAGCGCGGCAGCTAGTCGCCATGAAGGTTTTGGTTGAGAGGGTTTTTTTTACGGTTGAGGCTTTAGGGTTTACATATAGGGTTTGGGGTTTAGGGTTTCCAGCCACAAGTCTGCCTCAAATCGGGCTGCATTTGAGGCAGACTTGTGGCCCCGCCCCAAGAAACAAAAGCAAGCTGAACAATCTAGTGGCCACGCTGGACATCCCAGAACGCTTGGGTGGTTGCGCTTGGGTTTTGGGTGGTTTAGGGTTTAGGTGGTGGTTTAACATAGGGCTGCCCCCCATCCCGGCCCCACCCACCACCATTTCGGATAGTGGGAAGGACAAGGTGGCAAGTGGGGCAAGTGGGGCAAGCGGGGCAAGTGGGGCAAGTGGGGCAAGTGGCCGTCGCTTAGCGGTTAAGACAGGGCAAGTGGGGCAAGTGGGGCAAAAGGGTTTCCGCAAAAGGAACCAAAGCAAGCGGGGCAAGTGGCAGAAATCAGTTAGCGGTCCTCGTTTGCACGCGCACTGCCCTGAACCCTCTAAGCCCCCGAGGGACTCATGGCGCCCAACAGCCCGTCCTAAACCCTCAACCCTAAACCCTAAACCCTAAACCCTAGACCCTAAACCCTAAACCCTAAACCCTAGGAGACGCAGCCCCGGCCACAGCAGCAACTTCCGCCGGCCTATGCGACCCTGGGCAACTGGGGCCCGATTAGGGGCTTTTGAGTTTCGGGTTTAGGGTTTAGGGTTTAGGGTTAGGGGCTTTTGAGGGTTTAGGGCTTTAGGGCTTTGATAGTTGAGGGTTCAGGGATTAGGCGCTTAAAGGGTTTAGGGCTTTGTAGGCCGAACAGGATTGGGCTGATAGTGTTTTAGGGTATTAGGGCTTTGGGCTTCGAGGGTTTAGGGTTTTTCGGGGTGTGTGCTCAATCTGCCTTACGTCTTACGGGTTCTTAGTAGGGAATTAGGTCCGCATGGTTCTCTACAAGGGAACTTGTAAGACACTTTGGTGCAGGTTGGGGTGTTGGGTTTAGGGTGGAGTGTGCTTGAGAAAAGTTCCGTGGCGGATTTTAGAGTTGGGATGTTTGTGGCTGTTTTGCGGGTTGGGGGGAGAAGGCTGAGGGTCAATGGTAGACTAGGTCTAAGGAGGACTGTGGCGTTGGGCGAGTGTCGGGGCCATTTGGGGTTTAGGGGGTTCAACGGCTTCAACTGGCTTCGATTCTTGAAGGAAGATTTGGGAGGCATTCGACTTTCAGTAGGCTTCAAGTAGCAGCATGTGCTTGGTACCTGACCTGGCATTGCGACACTCACCTCCAAAACCACCAACCTCATTGAGTGGTTGTGGCATGTGGACCCGACAATACACACGAAGACTATGCTGAGCCGTCGCACACGTGAGGCTCTGAACACAACGTTGTGGGTGTGTTTTGGTGTAGCACCGGACGATCGACTGCCTCCGCCGCCGATCTACATCCAGCTATACCGTCGGCGTGTGGCCTGCTGTCTCAAGCAATTCACAATGCGCCCCTAAACCCTACAAAGCCCTCAACACCTGAAGCCCTTCAACAGATCTCTAAGAAGCCATATGACGGGTTTCTGTAGTGCTTGGGGGCCTGCTGGGCTTCAGCCGCCTCCTTCATTTTGGGATGGTCTCCGCTTGCCTAAGCTCTCAGCCCTGAGTCCTCGGCCCTAAGTGCCGTCAACCTTTATAGCCCTAAACCCTCAACCCTAAACCTCAACTACCCTGCTTTGGGATGTTCCCCCTTATACTCACAGTCCTTGAGGGGGTTACGAAAATCCCTCTTAAGGACTCTTAGGATAAGGGGGAACATCCCAAACCCATACCATGAAGCGCTGGACTCAAAGACTCTGGCCCGGATCCACAACTCCTGCTGGCCCTTGTGCATCTCACTACTACCCTGCACCCTAAGACACGAACGCTAAGCCCCAAGACCTCAACCCTAAACCCTAAACCCCAAACCCCAAACCCTAAAGCCTAAACCCTAAACCCTAAACCCCCTGTAGGGATTATAAGATTTTGGCTAATAGCCCTAAACCCTTTTGCTGGTATGGGGAACCCTGCCTCGACCACCCTAAGCCCTAAATCCCCTCGGCCGAGGCTACGAAACGGGCTGGGGGACAGAGCCGCGTCGATTCGCCTGAGCCTTCTTCCCAGGGGCGGCCCATGTCCAGGACGGAGGGGAATGGGGAGGGGTTGCTGTAGTTACCTGAAGCCTACACATCTGCAAATTTTCGGGTTCTTTATCGCGATTTCCTTGCAAACTCCAGGTAGGTCTTTGTCGGCTACTGGCATGGCGTATAGGGATTGAGGCTGACACTCCCAGAGTATCCAGCGTCTCCCTGTGAGGTGTCACACCAGGTAGGCTTGAGGGCTTAGGGGTGGGGGGCCAATGCGTCATGCGCAGGTCGTGAGCGTGACATGTCCCTCACATGCTGGCGCGATGAGGAGCTGGAATGCGGCCGCTGCAAGAGGTAGTGAGGAGCCCGGCCAAAGCCTCCAAGAGCCATCCCCCCCCGCCTCAAGACACCCTAAACCCGAAACTCTAGACCCTAAAGCCTCTGAAACCATAAACCTTAAACCCTAAACCCTACACCGTATAGACCCTGTAGATCCCAGGCGTAGAACCTGAATCGGGGGGAGGAGGGCGATTGCCTATGTCGGGTCTGGGCCTTTAACGCCTTGAAGGCCACACGCGCCTTGCCTTCACGGGACCACCTTCGATCTCCCAACAGTAGGGTGTAGAATGTTATGGGGTTGAGGCTGAGGGTTAGGAGATTCAGGGTGTAGGAGATTTTGGGCCCTAAACCCTAAGCCCAAAACCCTAAACCCCGAGTTTAGCAGGTGAGGCTTGTGGGCTTTAAGGGTGTAGCAACTTAGGGGAGGAAACATGGGTCCAGGATGCTAGTGCGGCAAAGGTATGAAGCCGTTCACATGCGTGGAGCTACGCCGACACACCGAGAAAGAAAAAGTGGGGTCTATATGGGGATGTCCCTCACTTTCGCCGTAAACCCCCAAAGGAGCTTCAACGGACATGTAATTGCTTGCGAGCATGAGTGTCGTCCACCGGGCCCTAAGAGAATCGTTTCTAATCTGATCTGCAACAGCTCATCAAAGCACTGCGGGATCCCAGAATTGGCTGTGGTCATGGACCTAGTTCCAGGTACGCGATTCTTAGCTACCGGTCTAGCTTCCTGCAACCTTCACTCGGATCCTCAGTGTGCGGCTTTGGGGGCACCCATATGCCCTCTGTTTCTTAAACAAAGCTAGGAGTAGTGCTTAGTTTCTTGAGGCACCCAAGCCTTAGCACCATGAACCTTATAAACCCTAAACCATGAAGCCCTAAGTTAGTACTAAAATGCCTCATATGCCTCAGGCCCGCTAGAGGCAGCCTAGGAATACCTTTCGTGGGATACGCGGGCTTTGGGGTTTAAGATAGGTGTCGGAATAATTGTACTAAAATAACCCCGAAAACCCTTGTCTCATCATCAAGGCCCTTGTGTTTTTAGGGTGAAGGCTTGGATCCAGGGCGGCTTTTCGCCACGAACGACCTTACGCTTCTTTCAGGGTGTCTTGGCGAACCCTAGCTACCCCTCTGCCAGGCCGAGAAAGCTCGCATCCGGGAAGAGGAGCAGACGGGTTCTGGCTTCAGAAAGGGGACCCAAAGCGCAAACCCCTTGTCAAACCGATGGCCTTGAACCCCAAAATTCCCACCCGGCCCAATTGAATGGGCCCACCACCTGCAAACGAGACGGTCGTTTGGCGATGACCCCTCCCCCATCTCCCTGCAGGAGACTGAGAAGAACCAGAAGAAAGCTCGCGACATTGCGGACCAGCTCCTGGGACCCTAAACCCTAAAACCCGATAATTAAACCCTGAACCCTAAACCCTGTTTGTGCTCGGGTTTTGAGAGGGCCTTTCGGGCTGGGTCAAGAGGTCGTTTCAGCTATAGTCGCCCACAAAAGCGCGCAAAAAACTCCTAAACCCCCGCCTGTTGTTCCGGAACCCTGGCCCTAAACCCGAAGCCTAACGCCTTAGTCCCTATACCCCAAGCCTATTAAACCCTAAACCCAGGATGGAGAAGGAGTACACTAACAGCTTGCTCAGCGGCGTGTGGGAGGCCTCGCGGGCCTTGAAGCCTACATGAACCCTACCCTGGGTCTCCAAAAGACCCTATTACTTTTGGTTGTTTGGAAAAAACCGGGTTTTTTAGGAAACGCCCGTAAAAAAAACAAACGCCCGTAATTCGGGAAACGCCCGTAATTCCGAGATCGGGGAGGATTAGGATTTTACGGGAAACGCCCGTAATTCCGAGATCGGGGAGGATTAGGATTTTACGGGAAACGCCCGTAATTCCGAGATCGGGGAGAATTAGGATTTTACCGGAAACGCCCGTACTTGCAAAATCGGGGAAATGAGAATTCGGCATAATAAAATGTACCAATACAACCCACCAAGCACCAAGCTTATAGTGAAGCCTGAACCCTGTCCCCTTCCAGCTCCTGCAAGGTTGAAGGGTTTAGGGGTTTAGAGAGGGAACACAGGAATGCTCCGGCGAACCCAACTGTAAAATCCGAGCCACAATCCTTCTCAAACCTTTCCCGAAGCCCTGTATAGACCAACGATATATGGACCTGCCCAAGCGACACTTATCAGGAGACTTGATAACCCCGGACCCCAGAGACCCTAAGCCTCAGCCAACCTTTCTCGAAGCCCTGTATAGCACAACAATATAGGTTATTCTGAGTCTTTAACACCAACCCTGCCGACCCCCAAGCACAAGCGACACTTATTATGAGAAGACGAAACAAACCCCAGACCCTAAGCCTCAGGACTTGCAGGGTTTATAGGTTGGGGTGGGGTTGGGGTATAACGGTTCTGCCACACGACCGTATATGAGGAGACCCTGTAGACAAACCCATATAAGCCCTATTCACCATGTAAGCTCCAGCCAGGACTTCCGAGGGGTTTAGGGTATAGGTGTGGGTTGAATTGGACCGGATTTGTTAACCTCATTTTTCGTTCCCTTGCCACGACAGTTGCGAAGTTGGACTGTTTTTTCCAGCTGCTAGGATCGCTAGGATCGGCAATAGCAGCCCAGACGCCCGTAATCTTATTAAACGCCCGTAAAAACCCGTAATTCGCCCGTAAACTTGTTGATTTAGGCTTTCCGTGGGGTTTCCGTGGGCCCTTACGGAAAGAATCCACGCAAAAACGCCCATAAAAAACCGTAAAAAAACCGTAAAAAACCATAAAAAACCGTAAAAAACCGTAAAAAACCGTAAAAAACCGTAAAAATCCATAATTGGGACTGGCGCGGAAAGATCACGGAAAGGCCTTAGGCTCTGTGATGCCTTGAAAAACTCTCAGATCCAACAGCTCAGCCCACCCTTCGAAACATAGAACCCATAATTCCACGGAAAGCTGTGAACTCCCTACGGTAAACACGAAATCTACGGAAAACCCCCTGAAGTCTACGGAAAGCCCCTGTTTCCGTGGGCCCCTGGGTTTGAGGGCTTTAGAGTTTAGGGGTCCTCTGGATTGTAGGTCAAGCTTCAGTTTCAGGGGTTTGGGGATTTCAGGCGGCTTTCCGTAGATTTCAGGGGTTTGCCGTAGATTTCGGGTTTTTCGTAGGGAGTTCACAGCTTTCCGTGCGGAATTATGGGTTCTATGTTTCGAGGGGTGGGCTGCATGAGTTGTTGGATCTGAAGGTTTTTTCAAGGCATCACAGAGCCTAAAGCCTTTCCGTGACCTTTCCGCGCCAGTCCCACTTATGGATTGTTACCGTTTTTTAGCGGTTTTTTATAGGCGTTTTTATGCGTGGATTCTTTCCGTTAAGCCCATCAAGCCCTAAACCCAAAAAGGCCTTAAAACCCTAGAAGCCTAAAACCCTTGCAAGAACCCTAACACCCTATAAAACCCTACAAAACCTGCAGGCTTTATGGCCAGGCCGGCCCAGGAAATTCCACAAAACCCTTTCAAAGCAAATCCCCAAAAAACCTCAATGGCCAAAATGGGGTCCCAAAATGCTTGAGGTTTTGAGCAGGGTGGGGTCCCAGGGGTCTTTTAGGAGGAAGCTTGGGTTAGCAAAATCCCTGCAGGCTTCGGGTGAAGGGCTTATATAGGGCTTTGGGATGATAAGGTTTTGAGGGGCTCAGGGCTTGTTGTTTTTGGCATATTCAGCCCTGTTTGTTTGGATGAACCCGGAAACCCCTAAACGCCCATAAAACCCCTGAACGCCCATAATTCTGCACCAATCCTCACAAACCACTAAACGCCCATAATTATCCGTAATTTCAAGAGCCAAAAGCAGAACGCCCATAAATTTCCTAAACGCCCGTAATTCCCCCTAAACGCCCGTAAACACCCGTAAAAAACCCAACGACCAAAAATAATTGGGTTGTCGGGCTTCCAGGACTGTATATTGCCGGAAAGACCCAAAAACCCCAAACCCTATAAACACTTAACCCTAGACCCTTAAACCCTATAAACCCTAAACCCTTAAACCCTATAAACCCTTAACCCTGAACCCTAAACCCTTAAACCCTATCGCCTTACAGAAGTCCAAGACGTTTGGCAGGCCTGGGAGCACGCTTTCCGCCAAGGGTCCGCCGAGAAAAAGAAGGCCACCCTGCTAGGGCGGGTTGAGGGTTTAGGGTTTCGGGTTTTCGGGTTTTAAGGTTTTAGGGTTTCGGGTTTCCGGTTTTAAGGTTTTAGGGCTGTAGGGTTTCAGGGTTGTAGGATTTTTGGGTGTTAGGGTTGTAGGGCTTGAGGAATTTTTCAGACTCTCCAAAGCACCACTACGGGACAGTACCTTTAGGCGACCCTGAGCCGACAACAGGCAGACCGCTAAACCAGAAACCTAAAGCCCTGCACCCTAAATTCCAACAAACGCCAACAACCCTAGGAGCCCTAAAGCCCTAAACCCCTAAAACCCTTCAACCCGAAAGTTCGGGAGCCCCTCCCCCAGCCGTACACGCTTGTATGCCCTCAACGCCCAACCCTCAAAGCCTGCAACCCAAGACTTCCTCAAACCTACAGGCTTATTCTAGAGAATCCCCCCCCCAAAAAAAAAAAACAAAAAAAAAACAAAAACTAACACCAACTCCAGTTCCTACGCCCTAACCCTAAACCCTAAACCCTAAACCCTAAACCCTAAACCCTAAACCCTAAACCCTAAACCCTAAACCCTAAACCCTAAACCCTAAACCCTAACCCTGAACCCTGAAGCCTAAACCCCCCTCCGCAAGGCGGAAGCCAAAGCTGAGATCGAGCGCCTCCGCAAGGAGGAGTTTGGGGGCCCAGAGAGCTCCTTTGGGTTTTAGGGTTTAGGCTTCAGGGGTTTAGGCCTAGGGTTTAGGGGTTTAGGTTTTTCGGGTTTTACGATTTTAGGGTTTCAGGGCATAGGCTTTCAAGGTTCACAAAAATCAAAAGAGCTGCTGCGCCTACACCCTCAACCCTACAGAGACCCTGAACTTGAAACACGAAAGCAACAGCTTTGTAAGTCTCATGGATGTTGCGGTTTTGCCCGCAACCCCTAAGCCTCACTCGACTCGGAAGCCCTAATCCCTAAACCTCAACCCCTACACCCCTCTGCCTCAACCCCTAAACCCCTAAACCCCTCCAAACCCTAAGAGCCCGAAGTGCTTCTCGGTGCTTTCTCTGCTTCGGAGCCCTATCCCCTAAGCCCCTCTAAGCCCCCTAAGAGCCCTACGTCCTTTGGTGCTTGCGCTGCTTCGAAGCCCTAAACCCTAGACCCTAAACCCTAAACCCTAAACCCTAAACCCTAAACCCTAAACCCCAAGCCCTATCCCCAAGGCTTTTGAAGGGCGAGGTCTCCAAGGCGCAGATCGCGGACCAGAGCATTGGACTGTTTAGGGTGTAGGGTTCAGGGTTCAGGGTTTAGGGTTTAGGGTTTCATTTTCGTGCGCGCAGGGAAGGGTTGCGGGTTTGGGGTTTAGGGTTTGTCGGGCTTATAGGGTTGCCAGGAATTATGGGGTTTATATGGTTTTTGGGCTTTAGGGTTGAAAGGGTTTACAGGATTTGGGTTCTAGGGATCGGGATCGGGAGGGTGAGTCTTGGGTTTGGGGTTTCGGGGCGTTTGAGTAGGGGTTTTGGGGATGTTCGGCTTAGGGTAGCAAACTCACCTGTCTTTCCCGATGTACAGGGCTAGGAGACCTAGAAGGAGCTCGAAACCCATCTTCCTTGGGCTGGGGTTTAGGGTTTAGGGTTTGGGATGTAGGGCTTGGGAGTTTTGGGGTTTTGGGTTTGGGGTTTTGGGGGTTTTGGTGTAGGGTCTCCAGTGCGAGCTTCGGGCGTCAGTGCGGCGTCAGGCGATGCGAGCTTAGGAGCAGTAGTAATAATCAGGGCGTCATGACCGGGCATGTGGGGGTCTTGGAGAGGCATGGGTGCCCTTTTAGCCTTACTGGCTATCCTGGCGACTTGTTCAGGTTGTGAGGGTGCAGGGCCACCTGCACAACATGTATAAATAACTTGCAACCCCGAGCTCGCAGCAAATGCACCGAAGGCTTCCCAAAGACCACAACCCTCTCCCCCCCCCCCCAACCCCTAACCCCTCGAGCCCATTGCGCACCCCGAGAACTGGGCCCAAGGATGTACGCCCAGTACTGCCGCGAGCTGCTGGATGGCGTCTTCGAGTTGTGGCGCGATGCCTTCAAGGAGTAATAGTGCTGGAGTTCAGGGTTTAGGGCCTTATAGGGGCTTTAGTAAGGGCTTTATGGGGATGTTCAGGGCTTTTCGGGGCTTTATAGGGGCTTTGTAGGGGGCTTTAGGGGCTTCTGGGTTTGAGGGTGGTCTTTTTTCAAGTGGCCTGCGAACATAGGCCATAGGCTTACTCCCCTTACACTTCCGCACCCAATGTGTTTCTAGTGAGTTGAGGTCACGGGGGCTTCATTCGACGGAATCTTTGGGAAAAAGATGTTCTCTTAAGCTCTTCGCTTAAACCAACCCTAAACCCTGAATCCTGCCGGCCCAACACCGGCCCCAGGAGGAGAAGTCCCAGAAGGCAGCGGACGCCGCGCGCGGCTGAAGATGGAGCAGGACGCCAAGGTTTAGGGTTCTGTGGCTTCTTTTGTGGCTGTTGGGTTTGTCAGGCTTTTAGTTTAGGGGGGGGGGGAGAAGTCTTTCAAGGACCCGCCCTTGCCTCTGGGACCCCCCTGGGCCCTCTGTTTTGGGACCCCTTGATATTCACTTGACTCCTTGATATGAAAAGCTGCTGGACTTTCCTGGAACCCTACTCCTGAAACCTTCCCAGCTCATCTGGACACCTGGACTCAAACCTGCGACCATCGGTGCCAGAAGGCGTTTTGATTGGAGGCAAGCATTTGGTCTGATTTTAGGCTTAAACCGTAAAGGGAATAGCTTAGGGTGCGTGGGATGAGAGAAGTGTGTTAAACGCCTTCAAATCGGGCCAGAGCTGCTCTTCGCACCTGACGAAGCTTTCGAGCCTCTGCTGCATCCCAACCTTCAAGCATCTACTCACTATTACGGCAAACCCTAAACCCTAAACCCTAAACCCTAAACCCTAAACCCTAAACCCTGAACCCTGAACCCTGAACCCTAACCCTAAACCCTAAAACCCTAAACCATATCATGATGCCAGGAGATGCATCGCTTCAAGCAGGCGGAGAATGACAAGGCCTTTAACACCGCCAAACAGCTCCTGGGCTAAGCGTTGGAGCACCTAACCCCTAACCCCCTAAACCCTAAACCCGAATCCCTTACCCTAAACCCTAAACCCCAAACCCGGCAACCTCGAGTCTGAACCTCAACCACAACGTCAAAAAATGAATACAAGCAAAAGCTAAGCCGGACTTTACCCCCTTAGCTGAGCCCTTCACCCTTCCCCTAAATTCCTAGACCATAAACCCCCAAGCTTAACCTAAGCCCCAATTAAACCCTAAGCTCCTGAACACGAAGCCCTTTAACTCTACATCCTTATTAAACCCTAAACCCTTCAGCCCTCAACCCTGTTCGCCTAAATCCCTAAGGGCAAAGGTCGCGTGCAGGCAGCAGGCCCCCCAATCCTTGCTTCTTCCGTGCGCCTGCGCAGAATTCGGGGCTCAGGTTTTGGGGCGTTTGGAGGGGGGGGGGTTCGGGTATTGGAGGTCAGGTTGGGCACGAGGGCTTGCGGGCCTTGGGAGAGACTTAGATTATAACCCTACACCTTAGTAAACCCTAAACCGTAAACCCCTTACCCTAAACCTCCTCAAAACACTCAAGTTCCAAAGCTTTCCACCCTAGAGCCGAAAACCCCCGCAGACCCGAAAGCCGGCTGTCCAAGGATCGCGGAGCAGATGTACAAGAAGTGCCACCACTTTCTCGCGGGAGTAGGGGTCGGAACAACTATACCGTAAGATTGCCTTATGGTCCCTTTGTACTTCTACTAATCATCACCCACGCCCCCCCCCCCCCCCCCCCCCCCCCAAAACTCGATTCTAAATTGTTCAGGCCCCTATATTCAAGAAGTGCGACCCATCTTTTCCAGCGGGAGTCCGCAAAAGTCAGTAGCCGCCTTCATCATTGGTTCGGACTCGAAGCTCCTCCAGCCAGTTTTAGGGTTTAGGGTTAGGGTTTAGGGTATAGGGTATAGGGTTTAGGGTTTAGGGTTTGGGGTTGAGGGTTTCCGATTTAGGGTTCAAGGCTTGCGGTTCAGGGTGGAGGGGTTGTGCTTGTTTTCGTGCTTCTGGGGGAGTTCGATGGCATGAGGACCCAGCAACTCTGAGCTACGCGCCCCTTGAGCACCCAACACATGGGAGTTTTCAAGCACCCCAAGGGCATCAACTTGGCACCCCCCCCCCCTCCCTCATGACTCAGAACCCTAAGCTCTATCCGACCCTTAGCATACGAACCTGGACTCGACTCCATTGTGAACCCTGATGAAGCTGAATTCCAGAAACCCCACAGACTAAGCTCTTGAACACGAAGCCCTTGAGTTCATGATGTACCCGAAAATGAGCCCTAAGCCTGAAACCCAAGCAAAACAGCTGCCATTTTCGCGTGTCCCGGCGCATGGTTCCGGACAGCCGGAGGTACTGCAGCGGCCTCTTCGACGAGGTGGTGGGAGTTTGGAAGGCAGGTACGGCTTCATCCGGGCTTACCTAGGCTGCAGCTTAGGGTTTTGAATCCTAAATGCTACACTTATCCGGCCAGCAGTAGAACTTTGCAGTTTTTTTGGAGATCTGACGGTCCGCCTCTCCCCAAGACAAGACCAAGCAAAACGACACGTTTCTCATCATATGGCTGGGTTCATAGGTATATCTGCTGTTTGAAGTGGCTGCAGTGTGCAGAGTCACAGGTTTCTAGTGACTGTGCGTCGCCTGAGGCCGCGCCAACAACAACCTAAACATTCCCCCTCCCCCCCCCCCCCCCCCCCCCTTTTCGGATGCGCAGTTCAAGGACACACAAACTCCCGCACCAAGAATGAAGCACCCTGAACCCTATTTGATACTTCAGGCTACTGTTTGTCTGGGGCCTAGGTTAGGCACACCGACTTGTTTGAGGGTCCCCAAAACCCTAAACCCCAAAGCCTAAACTGCCTGAAGAACATGTCAAGCCCTGATCCAGGAGGAGACCATGAAGACCAAGAAGGTGCGAGATGTGGCCACCCTTTTGGGGTTTAGGGTTTAGGGCTTAGGCCTTAGGAAATTTTGATTCCTTGTTGGGGATCCCTTGTTTGAAAGGGTGCTGCCGTAAACGGGGCACTCTAGAGGGGGACCATAATTTGGGAAGCTACACATATACAGCATGGACTAGTTCGTCGCCCCCGCCCGCCCGAAGCCCGAAGATGGGCACGACCATGTCATGACGATCATTTGGTGGCATTTTGGGCGTTGAGACTATACGCCCGTTTATATCGCACACCTTGAGCCATTCAATAAACCCTACACCTCAAACCCTAAGCCCTAACTAAACCCTAAACACACCCTCACCGTGAACATAAACACTGAGCCAGGAGAAGGAGGAGCGTACGAAGAAGGCTCAGGAGGAGGGACGCCTCAAGGCGTCATGGGCCCGAAGCTATTTTTGGGGCTGGTTTCTTTGGGTTTTCGGGTTTCTGAACCCTACAGACCTTAGGGGCTCGGGCCTTTCGGGCGGTTTAGGAGGTGCAGCCTAATTTAGCCCTGTAAGGCCCGAACCCCCCCCCCAAATTCGTAGAAGTGCAGTGTGTCTAGAAGGAAGACATGACCGTACAGGCTTCAGGGACTGTTGATGACATCAGGGCCTCTATATATATATAATACAATATGATTAAATAAATAAAGAAATAAATAAAGAAATAAATAACAATATATAGGCCTTCAATAGATGAGCAAGTACACTCAGTGACCGGATAACGAAGCCTGCAGGTTTACAGTCACTTCCTTGTGTGCACATGTGTTTATGCTCCTATCTCCGCCCAACTCCAAAGCCCTGAACACCTGCAACTACAACCTAACAATGCCAACCCCAACCGGCTTCTCACCCTAAAGCTTGAATCCTAAGCCCTTTTAAACCCTAGATCCGTAAACCCTATCCCTTCAACCCTATAAACCCTACATCCCTTTCATCCCTAAAGCCTTAATGTAACATTAAACCCTTACCCTTAGGACTCTCAACCCCTGAAGTCTGGAGACGCTTCCGAAAGGCTCAGCAGGAGAAGGACCTTCGCGAGGCGCGCTGAGAACACGTGACGCCGGTAATTCTCGCAAAGTCGGGCGTCCAGTAGCTATCAAACTGTTGGTGTGAGGTTTAGAGTTTAGGTTTTACCCTAAACCCTAAACCTTACCAAACCCTATAGGGCTTGGGTTTAGGAAAGATAGGCTTCATGGTTTGGGGTTCTTGAGTTTCGGGTTTGCGTGGTACTGGTAGGCTTCGGGTTTTGGGGTTTTGGGTTAACCGCTGTAAGCCGTGAACCAGGAAAGCCCGTATGTGTGCTTTAGAGTCTGGGCCCGTTGCCTTCGACCTTGCACACCACTGGGCTGCGCTCGGGCAGTCTCCACACCTTGCTCTCGGACACTGACCGGCCTGTCACCGACTATGAAGCCCACAAACGCTCTCACCTGCAAACGCAGGAGCTGTGCAGTGCCCAGGGCATCCAATTCGTCCCTTTGGTCGTCGAGAGCCGTGGGGGGTGGGGGCCTGCTGCCGTCAAAACTTGGCGGACCCTCGCTGCGGCCACAGCGGCTTGCTCCGGGAGGGTCTTGCCGCTGAAACCAAACGGCTGTACGAGACACTAGCCGTGGCACTGCAACGCGAGAATGCCCGAGCTGTGCTCCGCCGCCAGCCCGAGCCTGCGCACGCGCCCGGGCCCGGGGCCCGGCTTCCGTCACCTTGATCCTTCTCGTCCTGGCCTCCGCTTGCGTCTGTCAAGCTCCCCCCTGCAGCTGATGGCGCTGCATCGCATACTCACATCTGGTTGAGGCCTGTGCCCTGGGCGTCTCAACGTTGTGCCGCTTGCCAGCACCTTCCCGAGGAGAACCATCAGCCATTCGGCCAATGCCCGGTGTGCAACAGCCTTCACGCCACTCTGCACCTGCCAGAAAGGAACGCAGCATGACCTGAAGCATTCTTTGCTTGTAGGCTCGTTCCCGCATTGCCCTCAGAAGCAGGGATTCGTCGGGTTTTCGCCGCCCTCACAAGTAGCGGTAGGCACGCCACCCACATAACCCACGTAACCCACGTAAGTCTGAGCTTTGTGGTGTCTGTCGGTTTTACATCCTGAAATCCCAATGGCTCTTACTGTCTGAGAGTCTAAACGCAAAGCGCTGGCCGTAAGCCCTAAACCCGAGACCTCAACCCCCTACTAAATACCCGAACCTAAGCCCTGAGCCGCAGCACGACATGTTGTTCGCAAGGCGGAGGTCCTTGCTGAGAGGATGCGAAAGCTTCTTGGCTCTAACCCTACACCCTAAGACCCCTAAGCCGCCCTCCCCCCCACCTCCCTGCAACTCCCCCACCCCCTGACCCGCAAGGCCCTCATGACTAGAGGGTTGCAGTTTTAGGGTTTGGGTCACACAGGGGTGGTCTTTCGTTGGGGCCAAGGACGATGCAGACTGATGACGTGAAGTTCTGCTTTGACTTCTGGGTCGCCGAGTATCGCTCAGAGCGCTTTGCCTGAGGGGGCTCAAAGGGTAGGAAAGGGCATCTGGGGCAAAGAGAAGGGGGCGACACGGACTTGTAGGACTTGCAGGTTTCCTAGAGGGGCTTTAGGGCTTTGGCGGGGTTTGGTTGATGGCTCTTGAGTGGACTCCGGAGCGGCCTCTGAATTAGTGACGCCGACACCCAGAAGACAGCTGAAACCCTCAGACCTTGGCCACCCCGAGGGCCCGTTTGTCGTACCAGTATGGAATTCTAGGTCAAGAACCTGACCAAATAGGGCTTTTTGGTGCCTAATTCCATGCTGGTTCTACAAATGGACGCTCGGGCAAGAGGGCAGGTTTTTTTGGGGGGGAGTGGGGAGGGGAGGTTCAGGCACTGGAAGACGGTCCGATCCTTGGCGCAAGGCAAGTAAGTGGATTTGGGGAGCTGAACGCTGTCAACACTCCTCCCAAAGCAATTTTGAAGCAGGGGTGCCCCGTTGTTTGTTTGGTCGGGGGTGGGTTCTTATAGCAAGAACTTGGGTGCCCTTATGATAAGATGGTTGCTGGGCTACCAAGGTTATTTGGGTCCATGCGGGGTGCTACTCCCATTCGGAGGTTCCCTTCATGTGTGAAGCCCGCACCAACCCTCCAGCCGACCTCAAAACCTGAACTCTGGACACTGAACCCTGAACCCTGAACCCTTCAATCCTGAACTCGAAGCCCTTCTTGGCATGAAGCCCCCTGAAGCCCTAAACCCTGAACCCCTGAGCGCTCTGACCCCCTGCACGCGAAGCCCTGAACCCCAAACCCTCAACCTCAAAAAGCCTAAACCCTCAACCCCAAACCCTCAATCCCAAAAACCACCCTAAACCTTAAACCTTAAACCCTCAACCCTAAACCCCCCCAACCTCCTCCTCCCCCCGCCGCCCCCCCTCGAAGCATCGAGCTGAAGGGCTGGCAAGCGCCGCGATGAGGAGGCCAAGAAGAAGCATGAGGCCCGGAAACCCTAAGCCCTACACCCTACACCCTAAACCCTAAACCCTAAACCCTAAACCCTATAACCCTAAACCCCATCGCCCTAAACCCTAAACCCCAAGCTCCTGAAGCCCTATGAGCCCCAGCAGTAACAAGGGACCCAAATCAAGGGGCCCATACTGGGAGAACCCCAGATATAAGCTAGCCTTAAGTGCTCTTTAGACCCTCAAGCCCTGAAACCCTCGACCCTTAGGGTTTTGAGGTTTGTGGCGATGTTTGGGGGGGGGAGGTTCTTCAGGCTTTAGGGGCGATTTCTTGTGGTTGGAATTCTTGTGGTGTCCGGCTTTAACCCGGTGCCCAGGGTATAGGAAGTGAAATGTTGGAGAGACCCTAAACACTAAACCCTAAACCCTAAACCTGGAGCCCCTTGCGGTCCGAGGCCGAGCTCGCCGCCCTGCGTCGTATGGAGCAGGCCAGAAGAGCGTGCGTTCTAGGGTTTAGGGTTTAGGGTTTAGGGTTTGGGTTTAGGGTTGGGGTTTAGGGTTCAGGGCTTAGGGCGTTTCAGGGTTTAGGGTTTCGGTTTTAGGGTCTAGCCCCTACCCTTCAACCTTTTTGGGGTCAATATGGGTTCCGTTGTAAAGTCACCAACCCCAAAACAGGGTGCCCTTAATGTAAGATCGTTTCTGGGCCGCCAAGTATATTTGTACGGCACCCTGAAAAGTCAGGACCCAGACAGAAAGAGAGAGAGAGAGAGAGAGAGGGTGAGGGTGAGGGTGGGAGAGAGAGATGTTTAGGGGTTCAGGGTTCTTAGCGCTCAGGGGTGTAGGGGGTTGTTTGCTGCAGGGCTTCGTGGGCTTGCGTCGCACATTGCTTGAGCATACGTTCACATCATCCTTGAACACCAACCATCCCAGAACCGTTTAACCCCCCTAACCTAACCCAAGGCTGGCCACGAAACCCGAAAACCGAAAACCCATAACCCCAATCCCTAAGCCCTTAAGACCTGAACACTCATGATCGCTAAACCTTTCAGCCCTCAACCCGAAACCTTCAAAGCCCCGCCGGGTGTGAAGCAAAAGCTGTGCTGCTGGGTAGGGAGCTTTCAGGCTTCAGGTGACCATAGGAAGGGGCTTAGGGTGTAGGGTTTAGAGTTTAGGGTCGTCGGAGTGCTTGCTTGCTTTCCTTGTGAGTCATCATCCGACTGACCTCTTCCTGCCTCCCCCACCCGAAGCCCGATAAACCCTAAACCCTGAAACCCCAAAACCTGATCCCCAAACCCTAAACTCTGAAACCCTAAACCCTAAGCCCTAAACCCGAAACTCCTTGCGCCCTAAAACCCGGAGGCCAACCCGAAACTCTAAACCCTAAACCCTAAACCCTAAACCCTAAACCCTAAACCCTAAACCCTAAACCCTAAACCCTAAACCCTAAACCCTATTCGCCAGAACTCCCAATCTTCAGGAGACGGGTGAACGAGCTGCCCTGCAGATCGCGCAGAAGCGCCTGGGCGGCTACTTTTAGGGACTTAGGGTTCCGAGCTTTGGGCGGTTTAGTGTTTAGGGTTTCAGGGTTTGTTTCAAAGTTTCAGGGTTTCAGGGTTTCAGGGTTTCAAAGTTTCAAAGCTTCAGGGTTTCAGGGTTTCAAAGTTTCAAAGCTTCAGGGTTTCAGGGTTTCAGGGTTTCAGGGTTTCAGGGTTTCAGGGTTGCAGGGCTTAGGTTGCAGGGTTTTGGTTTCGGGCCTTCTGGGAGCTTTGGGGAGTATTTGCGCTAAGGCCTTTTGGTTTCGCAAGGGTGCTTAGGTCCCCTGAACGTCTACTTTATCCCTGGTTATCAATCTTTTGGGGAGCCCTAAGCCACAACCAGACTTTAAAAGTCAGAGACCGGCCGCAGGGGGTAGTTAAGCTCCGGCTAAATGTGTCGGGATGTGTAGACTCTGGCCTTTGGGGGCTTCTTGTTCCCAGTGAACCTAAGGTTTGCAGGTTGGCGTCTTGCCGCTTGCCCTTTTGAGCATGCTTCTGAGCCGAGGATGTACAAGAAGATCATTGATGACAACATGCCCCTCGCCAGATGTGGGGCCGGGGGGCGGGGGGAGGTTGCCAGAATTCGGGGCCACCGAGCATTGGGAGGGTCTTGGTTGTGCATGGACTATTGGAGGGTTTATGTCTAGGGGTCCAGGTTGCTTTGTAGGGTTTTGGGGTTGCTGCGGATGTCGCTGCTGGTAGAGTTGTCTCAGTTGTCTCACTTCACACAGCGGCCACGTCGGCTTACTGATGTATAGCTGGAGTGGCTGCGGACGAGGGTGTTGGGCTTATCAGGCTTTGTGAATGATGAAGCTGCAAGGGCAGTGACACCACGAGAGTGCTTCTCCTCCTGTTGCTTGTGAGGGTAAACTTTCTCGAAGTGCTGCATGGAGCATCTTCTCTGCCACTCGGGCGCAATGCCGCGTCTTTTCCGCGCCTCGGGAGCGGAATGTGCGATATCTGCAGAAGCAGTGTTGTCGCTTCGTGACATCAAGGCGCTGAAGCAATTTCTCCACCACATGGGGCTCATCAGCGTACCGCGATTCAGAGCTCGCGTGCTGCCTCTATCGGATCTGTCGAATGGCGGTCCTTTGGGATGATGTCCCAGTGAAGACTCATCCCGACTTGCAGATCATGGAACTGTGCTTCCAGGATCCCACAACCCAAGAGCGCCATCAGCTCACAGGAGCTGCGGCCCGGGGGAATCACCTGGAAGTCGAAAGATTGCTGCAGCGGCCGCTGGATCCAAACTTGGTGGACGAAGTTGGCGCGCGCCCTCTTCGCCACGCATCCTACCGCGGTCATCCCGGTGTCTGGGGGTCGACATGGCTATACATTTCAAAGTTCTATGGACCCCAGAATCCTGTGTTTTTGGTAAACAGACGTAAAAATCTTTATAGGCCCCCCCCCCCCTTCCCCCCGAAAAAAGAACCCTAAACTCTAAACCCTAAACCCTAAACCCTAAACCTTAAACCTTAAACCCTAAACCCTAAACCCTAAACCCTAAACCCAGGCGTCGTGGAGTTGCTCCTTGAAGCCTTGGCGGACGCCAACGCAGCCGACGAGGAGGGGGTGCCAACGCTCGTGTGGGCCGTTGGAGCCGGCCATTCCGAGATTGTGAGCTTGCGCCTCATCTGCTGAGCAGGGTTTAGGGTTAGGGTTTATAGGGTTTAGGGTTTAGGATTTAGGGTTTGGGATTTTAGGGTTTAGGGTTTTAGGGTAGTTTTTAGGGCTTTAGGGTTTTAGGTTTAGGTTTTAGGGTTTAGGGTTTAGTGTTGTGAGTAGGTATTCTTTAACCGTTTTGGGGCACTGTAAACTCTAGGCCCCCTTGAAAAACCCAGAGATCTTAACCTGTCCCCTTTGGCATTTGCTCAGCCAGGCTCTTGTCCGCCAAAGCTGACAAGGATGCTGCCGACAGCAGGGGCAAAACCTCCCTCCAGATCGCAGCCTCCCAGGGCCACAGAGATGTTCTCCGCCACCTTCTCGAGCTCCGAGCGAATCTAGATCAGCAGGACCCTCTGCCCAGTAGTACCCTCTTCATAAGTCGAAAGGTCTAGGGCCTTCAAGGTCCCAAAAAACACCGAGAAGAGCCAGTTTTTTGTTTTTTTCTACTTCGGGTTCTAGGGCAACCTATGAGGACATGGAGGGCAAGGCCGCCCTTCACGACGCCTGCTGCGAGGTCCAGGTGGACAGTGTCTCCATGCTTCTCGAGTTCAGGGCCGACCATTCACTTTTCGACTCTGAGGGCAAGACGCCCCTGCATTGCGCATCACAGGCAGGGAGTTTCGACTGTGCGTCCTTGCTTGTGGAAGCCGGGTCCCACGACCTGCCCGACAGCTATGGAGACCGTGCCGTTGATTATGCGCGCCGGGGGCGGCACGCGAAGGTCGCGAGCTTGCTGCAGGAGCCGAGCGTGACCCGGGATCCCGTCGACGACGCAGCAGCTTGGCCGATCTTGGTCGTTCCTGCAGGGCTGTTACACGCTGTTTCCAACAGGCGCTTTCCTTGTACGATTGGGGGGATCACAAGACCCCTAAACCCGAATAGCCTAATCAAACCCTATAGACCATGAACCCAAACCCCTTCGAAGAACCAAATCTGTCAGAGCCGAGGAAGCCGCTCCGTCGACCTCGCATCTTGAGCCGCACGCGGCTGGCTCCGAGCTCCTGGACGCCTGCATCCTGAAGTGCCTTGCAAGCCGTAGCCAAAAGGGCCGTGAGCGCATGGCCTCACGATGTTCCCACAGAGGTTTGCCTTGACAGTGTGACTGCGAAGGCCGCCCAGATATAGTAAAAGGGGCCAGAAATTCGTTGGTAATGTTCTCCCCGGTCATCCGTACATATTCATAACCATTGCCCTGCCAAGCGCCCAGACAGGCCTGTAGTGGGACATGTTATGCTGTTGAGCCGTCGACTGTGTGTTGTTGCAACACCCTTAGCTGGAATTGCGGCTTCCACATGCATGGGATGATGTTCCACATGTTGATCCTCGTTACTGTAGGCGATTGCCATCTCGAATGAGAGGATGTAGTGTATAGGGTCGAAAAAGGAACTCCAAGTCAGGGACCCTCTCTGAGAACATTTCCCAAGTAGTGGCAGCTATCTGCTTTTGGAACAGAGTGGGACTCTTGCTCTCACGGAATACTATAGGGGTCGGAGCAATTACTAATCGTATTCCCTCATGGTGTAATACCCCCCCCCAAAAAAAAAACTTGTTCTAATTATGCATTAAGGCCCCTACATTACTTAGTACATTCCGGGAAACCCTAAACCCTAACCCACGGAGAACCTGGAAACTTGAGTCAGCAGACCAACTGCTGGAAAAAGTCGAAGGATGGGCCACAAACGACGTGCTCATCGTCTTTAGAAGCCACATTTAGGGTTGAGGGTTTAGGGTTCAGGGTTTAGGGTTTAAAGGGTTTAGGGTTCAGGGTTTAGGGTTTAGGGTTTAGGGTTCAGGGTTTAGGGTTTAGGGTTTAGGCATGGAAAGCCTACACCCTCTACACCCTAAACCCTGAGCCAGAAACCCTGTACCAGATGGAAGCCTTGCTGCACCTGAGACACGGGAGCCCTAGAGTCCATGTCACCTCCAAAATCGGGTTTAGGGTTTAGGGTTTAGGGTTTAGGGTTTAGGGTTTAGGGTTCAGCTACTCTCCATGTCCCTATGTGGAGCCGAAAGCCCCCAATAGCCCCGTAAACCTTCAACTTCCTCCGGACGCTGAGCCCTGTAAGCCTTCAACCCTGAGCCCTAAACCCTAGACCCTACACCCTACAACCTCTAAAGGCCTTACACCCGAATTCTTCAGGAAGTGGTGTGTGGACAACTGGCACCGCATCATCAAGAAGGAGAAGGCCCAGAAGAAAGACGAGGAAGCCAAGCGGAAGCACCAGGACCGGGAGTAGGAAGATTTGGGGTGGCTGGAGCAGCCGGATTGGAGTCCAAGGGATTCCCAAAACTTCTAGTTCAGACATGATTTAGGCTTTGCTTTTTTTTCTTTTGCAGTTTGGGGTCTCAATATCTTAAGGGTAGAGGGCTTCAGGCTGAGGGGATGTTTGGGGGGGGGGGGGGGGGGGGGGCGTAGATGTGGGCTCCAGGATGAGCTGGACCGCATCCGGAGGGAGGAGCTGGAGAAGAAGGACAAGGCGCGAGGGTTTTGTGGGGACAGCTGCTGGCACCTGTCCCTTGTGTTCCTTTCTGCCGCCTCTTAGGAATTCTTGTATATTTTTCATCCATATAAACCCAAAATGTCGTATGAACATGGTTTCTGTGAAGGTTCTAAGGGGAGTGAAGGTTAGGGTCCCCTTGAGCTGTATAAGACCAGGGAGGCAAGATTCACCGTAAACCTCTGGACCCTAAACCCTAAACCTCAAACCCTGAACCCTAAACCCTAAACCCCAAACCCTCAACCCTCAACCCTAAACCCTAAACCTCTAAACCCTAAACCCCAAACCCTAAACCCCAAACCCTAAACCTCAAACCCTAAACCCCAAACCCTAAACCCCAAACCCTCAACCCTCAACCCTGAACCCTATAAACCCCCAGCGGGCTCATACGGTGTGGGCGTGCCCCCATCGACCAGGCAGCCAACAAGCTGGCTGAGCAGATGTCCCTCGAAACACGCCTTGCCTTGTGGGGTTAGGGTGAAGGTTTTTTTGCTTTACCTTGAACTTGGGATTTTCCTATGTCTACTAACAGTCCTTAACAGGGACTATAATAGGGGGGGGGGGGGGGGGGGTACTGGAATGCCCATGAAGGGCTGTTAGTATAACGGGGAACCTTGAACCTTAATCCTGAAACGAGGCATCAGCGCCTTGATCCGAACCCCTTGAAATTCAAAACACTTGCTTACCATACAACCAGGTGGGTGCTTGAGATACTGCATGTAGATATGTACAGACAGGGGTGCATTTTGTTTTTGCGGTTTTTTAAAGGATGATTTGTCGTCCAACCTCGAAGATAGAAGCCCTCCCCAAAGCGTGATGCTCCATCCCAGACTCCCAGGTTCAAGAAATACTGGGATGCACCTCGGCGACATGGGCTGCCAAGCACGGAACTTCTGTGTCAGGGACAGGGCCATGCTTGAACCCTAATTAAACCCGAAACCCCAAACCTAGAATGCCCCCGGGCCTTCGGGATGCATCAACCCCATATTTCGATGGTGTTACATGTCGGTGGTTGCCCGGACTTCGTAAGCTTTCGGTGGGACATCGCTTAAAAGACCCAACATGTTTCGATGTAATGGTGCCTTTTTTGATGTCCTTATCTAAAAGGTAATATCCGAGAAGTAATCGCGGAACATCTCCAAAGAACCTCCCCCCCCTCCCCCCTCCCCCTAAACCCTAACCCTAAACCCTAAACCCTAAACCCTAACCCTAAAGACCCTAAACCCTAAACCCCCTCCCCCCCAAAGAGAAACCCAAACATGGACCTGATCTGCATCTCACTTAGGACAACGTCGGCGTTGTGGTGGAGCTGTGGCGACGGCTGGCGGTGATCACGAAGGCTTGGAGCCCAGTTCATCCAGGGTTTAGGATTAGGGTTTAGAGTTTAGGGTTTAGGGAGAAACCCCCAAAAAGCCCAATCAAAGTATGTGCTTGGGCTTCTGAGGGCTTCTCCTGTCAGAGTCTAGGAGTCGTAGCAGCTTGGTAGCAACACCAGACTGGAAGGTTCATCTCAACGTGGGACGTGCAGGCACCTCGAAACCTCTGGCGCTCGCGGTTGGGGGGGGGGCCCTTCACAGGCCCTGAGAAGGGTGAAATCAGGCGACCACATGGCTGTTTGTGAGTTGGGTTCCCATTGCAAATGCCAGCAGCTGTCCTTTCACAGAAAAAACTCACGAGGACCTTTGAAGAACAGCTCCTGTTGGAACATGGGGCCTTCAGAGATTGCTAAGCTTCGGGGTCCAAACTCGACGGAAGTTATAGGGAATTGCGAACCCGGGGATCCGCCTACAATCGAAGGAGGGTTGCCTCATTCCCTACACATATAACATCTGCAAGCCAACCCTCTAAACTCCATATATGGAAAGAGGCGGTCGGAAAAAAACAGCAGCGCAGTGGCCCAATGAGTTGTGTCGCCTTTGCCGCCGAGGAGACGAAGGCACGGCGCAAGCACGAGGAGGCGCGATTTCAGGGAGTTGCCAAGCCCCAGATCTCCGGACTCCGAAGTCCGCAGCCCCGGAAAACCCGAAGCGCTGTGCATTTTTTCACCCCCGAAACCAAGGAGTGGTTCCGGTTCCCGGAACTTCTAACCCTCAAGTACCTATGAGTCCTCCACAGAAACGCAACTCTGGAAGTGATATGATTGGAGGCACATATATAGGTATGAAGTCCTTCAAAGCATCCGAAGCGGAATCCCCCACAACCCCGAAATCGAAACAATTGCCCCCGTTTCAAGGGTTACGCAGTTCCTCTCTTGTGTCGTACCCAACTAAGTTGTCATCGTCTTTTTCCGTCCAGGAAAGGGTTAAATTCTGCCCCCCGCGACATTTGTGGGCTCACAGGGTTTCGGCTGCTTTGTGTGAGGAGCTCGCCGCGCTGAAGCGAACCAACAAGGAAGTCGGGGTGAAGGCTTGGGCCCGGGCCTTTTGTTTGTAAATAGGGTTTAGGGTTTTGTAGTTTATAATGGTTTTAGGCATGTTTAAGATGCAGGGCTTGGGGTTCAGGTAGAGGGTTGAGGGGTTTCGTCTTGTGAAGCTTTGTGCGCAACCCCTTGGTTTTCCTGACGGCGCAAGTGGGCCCCAATTCAGGTCCTGCATGGAATGGGGAAAGTTCCCGAAGTAATGTTGCGGCTGAAGGAAAGTCATAGTGGGTCGAGAGTGCGCAAGCCAGGGTTCCAGAGGAATGCCACTGTGTGAAACACATGAGAGAGAGAGAGAGGGAGAGCGCGAGAGAGAATCCCAAACAGAGAGGGAGAACAAGAGCAAACAGAGGCATCGAAGGTAAACTAAGACCGCGGGACTGCTTCAACTGTGAACCACTAGTCACTAGTGGTGCCTTGTGGGTGGCATTAGCCCTGTTCCATGCAGTGGACCCGAATACAAAGTTGTGCAGAGCTCTGTGGCGCAGGGATCAGGAGCTGCCTCGATAGTTCCATTCCAGCGCAGCTCCGAGAGGTGCTTCCACTGCAGCGCAGGGACATCAGGGCAGGTCGGAGCCGCTGAGTTTGGGCGCAACATGCGCAGGGATCAGCGTGCACAGTCCCTTCCTCTCTGGTGGGGAGTGCTGGCTAGGCGTGTGGCAAGTATGCTGCTGAAGGAGACGCGCAGAACCCGGTGCTTAAGGGGCCCAAGCATGGCTTGGACAAAATCTTTGTCATAGTGGGATAACATTTTGCATGTTAAAGGGTACTTAAACTCAATAAGGAATGTGTGAGGCAGCACGGGCACGGGAGGATGCCGGTTATTTGCCAAATTGCCCATAAGACACCTAAGCATTCCTACGCCTACATCCTCGACATTCCAGCTTGCACCCCTGAGCCCTACAAATGACCAAGTCGTATATGTTCCCTGCAACCCTAAACCCTAAACCCCAGACCCTAAACCCTGAACCCTAAACCCCAAACCCTAAATTGACCAAGTCCTATATGTTATGATGCTAGGCCGCCCTGGAGATCGCTGGGCGCATGCTCGGGCGCCCGAAGCGGGCCATGGAGGGCTGTTTGGGCTTTTGGGGGGTGTGGGGTGAAAGGTTCTCCCGGGTTGTAGGAGGGTTTAGGGTTCAGGGTTTATAGGGTTTAGGGTTTAGGCTGAGCTTCTGGTGTACTGGGCCTGTACGCGGTGGCTTAAGAATGAACCGGGTGGCCTTCTTTGGCTCAACCGGTGGCTTTTGCACCCTTTAATGACTCCTACTCCCTTGTTTGGTTGATTGTGGTTTAGAAGCGGCGGAACCTGGCCCGCACACAGGGAAGATGGGTATGGAACTTACTTGGGGAATCCGAATCGTCAACCCTAATCCTTGGATCCCCAGCAACTCGCCTGGGTTGAGGGTTTAGGGTTAGGGGCTCAGGGTTTGTGAGGCTTTGGGTGTATAAGGTTTACTTAGGGCGCAAAGCTGCGCACTGGGCTGGTCTTCCCTCACACGTTCCAGGAATTTTTGGGCAGCTGCGTTTCAGCGGGCCTGTGAAGTATTCCGCTCTTAGGGTGTCGAGAGTATTCAGAGCCTTGGTGGGGTCCAGTTGACTTTGCAGGGATTTCACACCTCGGAGAGTTTCGCCGTTGGCCCTAAGAAGCCCTGTGTGCGACGTGTAATTCTTACTACACACTGCCTATGGGATTTTGGGCTTAGGGCGTAGGAAGATCTGTGTGTGCATGTCTTGCAATCTTCTTTCAGAAGTCTAGCGGCCTACAGCCAGCAAGGCAACCCAAACCTACCCACGCAACATGTTCGTATCAGGCCATAGTCCAATAAACCGCATAGACCCTGGACCCATCCAGGCCTCTAAACCTATCGAAGCCCTCTAACTCCGACCCTTGAAGCCCCAAACACGCCAAACCCCTCAACCCTGTAAGCCCTAAACCCACTACGTACCCTTAACCGAGTCGCCGGGATTACTGGGGGCACTTAGGGTTTAGGGGATCTACCGGACTTTTCAAGGATCTCAACTCTTCTGTTCTTTCGGCGATGCTGTTCCTTGACTTCCACAGCTCTCAGCTGGTGTCGGCAGTTAGGGGCTTCGGGCTCTCGGGGCAGCATCCCCCTTCAGAGGCCTGGGAGTTCTGCCGTGTAGCGGCCTTCGCTCTTCGGGTTCTTTCTCGGGGGCGCCATTCTCGACACATGCGACCGTCTACAGCAACCACTAAACCCTAAACCGTCAACCCTGAGCCTTCCGGAACCCGTGGCCCGAAAGCCCAACCGCCTTATAGGCCGACTCTTATAACCTATCTGTCACAATAGTTCCTCTTCCCCACGCCTTTCTTCGTACTTGAGAACAACAACACGTTCTCTCCCCCCCATTTTTTTGGCTGGCGTTTCTGAGGTCCAAGGCCCACTGCGACAGCCTCCTGAAGATGAGCCTCTCCTCCTGGCGGGTCTGGGCGCACCAAACGCGGCTCGGCCCCGAAAGCTGCGAAGCCCTGGCTAAGGGGGTTTGGGGGTTTGGGGTTATCGGGATTCAGGGCTTTTCTAGGGCTTACAGAGGCTTTAGCTCCCTTAACCTCCAAACCCTAAATGCTATCTCGAAAAAGCCGCCACTAAAGGGTTCAGGATCCCCCATGGCTCATGGGCCCTCTTGTTGAGGGCCAGCTCATGGACCTTCAAGGTCTATATACAGCCCCATGGTGTTTGTAGGGTTCATAGAGGGCGTATGGGCTAACAAGGTTTGAAGGGTTCAGCATGTTCACAGGGTTTACTGGGTCTATAGGAAGAGGGCTTTGCGGGTTTACAGGGCTTTGGGCTTTTAGGTTTAAGGGCCGGGGCCTGCCTGCGTCGTGTGACCGGCCATCGCTCTTTTTAGACTGTGGGTGAAGTCCTTGGAAACCCTAAACCCTAAACCCTAAACCCTAAACCCTTAAGTTTTGGTTTTTGGGTTTTGTTTGGGTTTAGGGTCTGGGGACCCAAGAACCCTAACGCCCATCGGAAGCGTGACGTCCCTCACTCAGACCTGCAACTCCCGAGCCACAAACCAGCAAATGCCTTCATTCAGCTAATGTTCCCCTCAAAGCCTATAAGCCCACACTTCTTGATACCGCGGGACCCTAAACCCTAAACCCTAAACCCTAAACCCCAAACCCTAAACCCTAAACCCACAGGCGAAGCAGCCGCAAGGAAGAGGAGGCCAAGAAGAAGTACGAGCAGGAGATGACCTGCAGTGGTCGGTTGGGTATAGGGTTTAGGGTTTAGCCCTAAACCCTAAACACGAAGGTTTCGCTTTCTTTGTTTACGATTTAGGGGATTTTTAGAGGCTAGGAGGCGTTTGGTTGTAAACCCTAAACCCTACACCCTAAACCCTTTTGAAACCCTAAACCCTAAACCCTAAACCCTAGGGTTTAGGGTTTAGGGTTCAAACCTCGAAGATCCCGCAGGACATGGCCCGAATCAGGCGCCTCGAGGCCCGATATTTCTCCTGACGCCTCTGTTCCAGGGGGGGCTTCGAGGGTTCATAGAGGTTCTGATAGAGGGTTTTAGGGTTTAGGTTTAGGGTTTAGGGTTCAGGGTTTAGGGTTTAGGGTTTAGGGTTTAGGATCAGCCGTGTCTGTTGCAAAGGCAACCCTGAGCCTGAATTTAGGGCAGTTGGGGTTTAAGGGTTCAAGTTTAGATTCGGTTCTCTTCTTTGGTCTTCCAGGCCTCCTGTGGTTTAAACCTGAACCCTAAACCCTTAACCCTAAACCCTACACCCGAACCCCCTCCCTCCCTCTCCTTCCCAAGCACAGGTGGAGAAGGCAGACAAGGCAGCCGAGGTGGCGGGCCTGAACATGTTCCGCAAGGCGGCCCTGGGGGTCTTGGGTTGAGGATTTAGGGTTTAGGGTTTAGGGTTTAGGATTTAGAGTGTGGAGTTTAAGGTCGAGGGCTTCGACTCTTGGCCGTTTCGTGTTGTAGAGACTATAGGAACTCCTACAGGTGCACAAAAGGTGTATACATGTTAAAGTTCATGGCTCTAGAGCTTTGTTTCTGCTGACATTGTCGGGTTTCTGAAGGGTTTTGCGACAAGCTTTTGAAGGTTTGCTGGGTGTCTTGTCTTGAGTTTGGGGTCTAGGGCTTGGTGGCGCAGCCATGGGCGGGGGGAGAGAGGGGGGTGGGGTTAGTGAGTGCGGGCGCATACATAGGGTTCACGGTAGGGCAACCGCAAGCGCCTCCCTGAGGTAATGAACGACAATCTCGGCCTCATTGTCGCGGAGTGGAAGGATTCTTGGCAGTGGAGTGCTCTTCTTGTGGGCGAGGTCCTATACCCGAAGCCCGAAACCCTATACCGGTTCCTGGTTTTGGGGTCGAGGCTTTCAAGGTTTTAGGTGTGGAGGTTGAGAAGCTGAACAAGTAAGGACCTCACCAAGAACGAGCTCCTGCACAGGACCGGGCAAGGGAGTTTAGGGTTCAGGGTTTATAGGGTTCAGGGTTCAGGGGGTAGGGTTTAGGCGTTAAGGGTTTAAGTTGCGTTGTCCCGGCCTTCTGGGAGAGGGTGCGGGGCTTGAGGGTTCAAAGGGTTCTTGGGTTTAGGGTTTTGGGTTCTAGGGGTCCGGATTCAGGATTCAGGGTTGAGGAACTTCAGGGGCCGCTTAGATCTCTGAAGACCTGAATCTCCTGAGCTCTACAGTTCAGGCGGGCATTTAGGGTTTAGGGTTTTGGGTTTAGGGTTTAGGGTTTAGGTTTAGGGCTTGACCGCCCCCCAGGAAGTTGGAGAAAGACATGCGGGATAACAAGAACCACATCGACAACCTCAAGAAGGACGAGCTGAGGGTTTTGGAGCTCAGGGCCTTTAAGGGCTTTCAACGTGCGGGGACCCTGGCAGATGCCAACCTTGTTAGGGTGGCGTGTGCGTTTGTACGCCACTGCCCAAGACCCGAAACGGCACATTGTCCCCTTAAACCCTGCAGCCCCAAAACCCTAAGCCCTCGACCCCCACCCCCAGGAGGCTCGAGCGAAAGGCGAACGAGTGCGCCACTTGGTGGCGCAGAACCTCTTCGCCAAAGATAAGAAGGAGTCGCTGCGTGAGCTTCCGGTTTAGGGCTTAGGGTTTGCAACTAAGTAGGGCTAAGGCACATTAAAAGCCATGAGCCCGAAATCCTACAGCCCTGAGGACTCTGGGGGTTGCTCCAAATTAAGGGTACCGTATCCTTGTACGCCGCTCTATTCTTGGATTAACCAAATTTAGAACAACCTCCAACGTCTCCCATGCACCTAAACACTGAACCCTTACACCCTGAACCCAAAAACCTGAGACCCTCAAGAGACCCGAATTGACAGAGACAATCTCAGCTCCCCCCCCCCCCCCCCCCCCCCCCTTCTTCCACTTACTGCACGAACACAGGAGGTGTTGAGTGATGCCTTCGCCAAGTGGGTCATCAACTGGAGGCCACCCATGGTGTGGGCATGGGACAGTGAGGGTGCAGGGGTTAGGGTTTAGGGGTTTAGGCTTTAGGTACGGCTTCGGATGAAGATTCCAGGGGTTCGCGACAGCTTAAGATGTGCGTAGAACCAGGCCCTTTTGCAGGAGGCAGAGTTGGTTCACATGCGTGTTCCTTTCTGTTTATAATATGTGCATGGCCAGTAAGGTAGCCCCTGCCTTGCTTGCGGGCAGGGTGGTCAGGGTCAGGTCTGGGAGAAGCGCAGCTAGGGCTCAGAGCAGTGATCGCCTTGTCTACCCTAAGCCTGGCCCAAGACCAACATATGTTTAAGGTCTTTGGCCCCAAGACAGATGAAAAGCCTCAAATAATCGGGTTTTGGGCCCTCGCGGCTGGGGTTTGCGGTTTCTACGGTTTACGGCTAAAGGGAAATTTCATGAAGTCGTCGAGGGCCTGAGGGTAGGCTAGTTTAGGGTTTAGGGTTTAAGGGGTTAGGGTTTAGGGTTTAGGGGTTTGATCTAGGCAGCCGCTTTGATTAGAAGCTTGTCTTAAGTGGGTCTTGACTGCCGACGGGTGGCGAGGACAGTGTCTGTGGAGTGGCATGGAGACAGGTGAGTGTGAGGAGTCGTTCACTGAGCGTAGTGCTTGGGAAGAGCGAGTACATGTGAGATTGTGCTTGTGACGAAATCGAAATTGTCAACCTGATGCGACTTCATTCTCTGAGACAGAAGCCCCAACATCCTGATCCCGGCATCGTCGAAAGTTACATTTGTTGGTATCTTTGCTTTGTCCAAGCCCGGTTTGCTCAGCGCTGCGGATCGCGGCCCTCCCTGGAGCAGCTAACGCCATGTCAGTTGCAGGTGCATCCGACGCTTTGTCCGACGAGTTCTCCCTTGTGGCAAGCCAGCAAGCCGTCGTGCACGACATGACGCCAGACCCGTTCCTGGCCATGAACCTTGGCGAGGAGATGCAGAATCAGTACCTCTCTGATGCGCAGCAGAGGCTGGAGAATCCGGAGCTCTGGAAGAGCAACGCCGCGGCTGAGATCCGGCTTCTTGCGTCCACTGCCAACCCAGCAGCCAAAGTCAAGCTCGACAAGCTTTAAACCACATGTACCAGGAGGTCTCAGTGCGTCGGGTACGGAGTCTCCGTGGAAACATCATGGCTATGGCGCATACCTTGGTGGAGCTGCTCCGGACAACGGATCATGACCAGAACATGCGGCAGGACTGCCACAACGAGTTGCAGGACCGTAGGCCCAATCCGGGGTAGACACTAGAGAGCGTGCTAGCAAGGCGGGAACAGTCCGAGTGGTGTGCCAGAGCCTAAGAGAAGGTGTAATATGGGTTTAGGGTTTAGGGTTTAGGGTTTAGGGTTTAGGGTTTAGGGTTTAGGGTTTAGGGATGAATGTAACCAGACATCAGGCTGCCATCGGAAACATCGAGGCAGAGTTTGACAAGCAGGGGCAGGAGTACGAACTTCATTCGAAGACGCACTACAAGAACGTGGTGCGCCTTTGTGAGGAATCGCGTATGGATGCCTTGAAGTCTGCTGTTGCCGCTCTTGCTTCTGGCGCGGCCGCGGCATGTTCCTTGGTTGCCCTTCGGCTTGCTTGGGTTTCCTGTCGACCGGAGCACTTGGCACGAGTCGTCTTTGGGCAGAATTGGTACAGGCCGAGTAAGGTCGTCGCCCGAAGTGGAGACGTGCTGTGGGTGAAGATGACCAAAGCGGCGGGCGGTCCAAAGCGACATGTCTTGTGGCTCTTGAGGCAGTTGATGCGTACCTCGGCGGGCGCACTCCTCGCGGCTCGCGTGCGGAATTGCCATCTTGTGGTCGCGCTGGTGTGCTCAGAGAAGCAAGGAGAGTGGCGCCGAGGCACAGGCCGAGTCGCTTGTGAAAGTCGAGATGGAGCAACACCAGGCCATGTGGCAAGGCACCTTCGTTCCTGAGTAGTGGCAGCCTTCTTCACTTTTTTTTCTCCGTACTCTAAACCCTATTACCAACACCCAAAAGAATCCCAAAAGGCCATGAGCCCCCAAGAAATATTCAGCCGGTAAGGTGCCAGGATGGCGGTGGACGCCGTCAAAGACAGCGCCGATCGGCTTGCCAGTCCGACGCCCGGCGAACGGAGCGTCGGCAGACATTGACAAAGCAGATGCTGCAAGAACTCTGGACCATGAGCATGACGACTGATGAGATGATTGTGTGGATGTCTCAACGAGGATGCTTTCCACCCACTCGGTGCGCAACATGGTCTCGCCGGGTCGCTAGGACAAGATCCTCGGGGCCTTTGAGGAGATTACAAGAACTCTGCCGAAGCCTTCTCTCGGAGGGGCATAATCTTCGGGCTCCTAAGCCCAAAAACCCTGGGCAAAGGTTGGTGGGAGTGTGTTTCGCAGGCCCGAAGCCATGGAGGTGATGGTTGGAAAGTCGCCAAGCTTCCCTGCCTGCAAGATTCTGCACGTACAGCGACATGAACAGTGTTTTGGCAGGCCTTGCAGCCGTTTCCTTGGCAGTGTTCCGAGATCTTGCACGTGCGAGAAGAAGCAAGCCATGCCCTGAAATGCCCAGCACGACGTCTGCCGCTACGTAACTTCGAAAAACCACCCGCGAGTCAGAATTGACATCCCTATCTCCAAAGCCAAAGAAGTTCATGACATAAGCACACTGCTCAGCGGCCTACGCCGGCCTGACTGGTCAACGTGGTCAACCCCATACACCCTACAGGCAATTTAGGGGCTGGGCAGTCGACCTTTAACATTTTTTGGGGTATATATCAGCCTACTACAAGAAACAAACAGGTTAACCCTTTTTGGGCTAGGGTATACAGCCCTTATAAGATAATATCCCTGTAAACCCGAAACATGAGGGATTGCCTGAGCCCCCGTTCAGAATCCGTTTGGTGACATTGAACCCTAAACCCCTAAACCCAAAACCCTAAGCCCTAAAAACTAAACCCTTCACCCGAAACCCTAAGCCCTAAACCCTAAACCCTAAACCCTAAACCCTAAACCCTAAACCCTGCAGGCAGACCCTCTTAGAGCAGCAGCACCACGCCGAGCGCGTCCAGCATCGGGATCAGGCAGAGGGCCTTGGAGAGGATTTTCAACCCTGAAGCGCAACGCCTACTAGAGGGCTCGGAATCATTATGAGTAGTATGATTATGATGATAGGGTTTAGGGTTTAGGGTTTAGGGTTTAGGGTTTAGGGTATGAATATTGTGATGATGATTGCTATTTTGACTGTGATTGTTGTTATTATGATTTCTGATCATTATGACTATCTAAAATATTGAGGCCCCTATACCAGTCCCCCCCTGGCGGCCCAAAAAGGCCTCGAAACCCCCTATGCTCCAAACCCGAAACCTTCAATCCTTCAAAGCCCAGGGTTTAGGGTTTAGGGTTTGGGGTTTAGGTTTAGGGTTTAGGTTTAGGGTTTAGGGTTTGAAGCTTCGGAAGCCTGGCCGTACAGCACTAGCCCTAGCCCCGTTGCAGACCTCTAAGCCTCAACACCCTAAATCCTTCGAAGCCCAAAAGAAGCTTCGGAAGTGCACCCAAAATCCTTCGAAACCCAAAAGAAGTGACGGAAGCCTTATCACCCTACACCCTAAACCCTAAACCCTAAACCCTAAACCCCAAACCCTAAACCCCTAACCCCCTGTGAATCTTGCAGGTTGAGAAGATGAAGCGGTCGGAAGCCGCCACTCTGCTTGGCGTTTAGATGGGAACCTTATGTTTTCTTTCGGGTGCTTTAGGGCAGTTTGTGATGAGTAGGGTCTTTATAGGTGTTTCGGGCTTTCGTCGGTGCTCGGGAACGAGATCGACTACAGCCTGGTGTTTCAGGGCTCAAGTCTTGGCTCAATGTCGGGCTTACGGCCTGTGGGGTTTCGGGTTCAGGGTTTAGGGTCTAGGGTTTGAGGTTTAGGGTGCAGGGTTCAGGGTTTAGGGTTTTAGGGTTAGGAACTGAGGGGTTAGGGATGGGTATCGCTTTCATGATATGACTAAATCCCCGCGGGAATGGGTTCTGTGAGGCTCAGGTTTGGGGTCGCTGGGCGTGAGTCCGTGCTTGGCCGATTTGGGAGCTTAGCGTGTGTGAGGTGCGGGTAGCTACGATTTGCTTAAGCACCAACAAACCACAAAGAAGTACAACTTATTTACTTCGAACATCCCCACCCTCTCTTGGTAAAGATACTCTGGGGTTGGGCGCTCCAGGGAGACTCTGGGGCTTTAGGGAGACTCTGGGGTTGGGCACTCCAAAGACACCGTGGGGTTGGGCACTCCAGGGATGAGCGAGGAGTAGACCGGGCGAGGAGAAGAGTTTTGGGCGAGGAGGAGAGCTGAGTTTAAAATCTAACAACCCCACACCAAGGGTGGGGAATAATCTCCCTTTATTGCCCTTATGAGGAAGAATATTTGCATTTTGTTCGGGGCTCTTAGGCAACTGGAAGTTCTGTGGTTGATGGAGAGTTTCTAACTTCTGGCAACATCGGATAGCCCCCCCCGCCCCTCCCCCCTGAACCCAACCCTTTCAAACGCTACACCCTTAACCCTAAACTTGCCCTAAACCCTAAACCTAAACCCTAAACCCTAAACCAGCCAAGGAGAAGATGCACAAGATGAAGGGCCTGATGGCCTCACAGTTCAACACGACAGGTGTGCGTGAGGGGCTGGCAATGGCCCTAAAGCCCCCACATCCCTGCCCTCGACCCTACTATAAGCCCTATATAAACCCTAAACCCTAACCCTAAACCCTAAACCCTAAACTCTAAGCCCTAAACCCTAAACCCTAAACCCTAAACCCTAAACCCTAAACCCTAAACCCTAAACCCTAAACCCTAGCCCTAAACCCTAAACCCTAAACACTAACCCCTAAACCCTAAACCACAGGGAACCGTGCCCTACTCCACCTGTGCGCCTGGAGCTCGGAGAGCGCCTTCCGTGGGAGGTCTCAAAAGAGGGCTTTTGGGGGTTTGGGGTTCATGTGTTGGGTTTAGGGTTTAGGGTTTAGGGTTTAGGGTTTACGGTTTAGGGTTTAGGGTTTAGGGTTGAGGGTTTAGGGTTTAGGGTTCAGGGTTTAGGGCTTAGGGTTTGGGGTTTGGGGTTTAGGGGTTCTACTTCTGGGCTGAGAGCCTCAGGAGTTTGGGGCTCTAAGGGGTTTAGGGTTTCTAGCGTTTAGGTTGTTGTTCAGGCCTTCGGGGGAACCCCCTCAATCCAACTACCCTCCTTTACACACCGTTCACATGCCGAACTTGTTGTCCCTCAGCTACCAGACGATGGCCACGTTGTGAACTCTGGGCAGCAGTTCGAATGCGGCCCTTTATACTATATACCCTTAGGAAGCTTTTGTTTATATCAAACCCAAGAGGACATTAAAAGCATGCGATGTTTATTAAAGTTCTAAGGGGAGTATAGTATATACTTGAGGAAACCAGGCCTGTTCCTGGGAAGCCAATGTCACCCCCTCAACTCCTCGCCTTCTATAATCCCGAAGCCTTTTGCCGTCTCAGTCTTAGCCCCTATGAGCCCCCCAAAATAGCCCAACAGCCCCAAACCCGAAACCCGAAACCCCAAACCCCAAACCCCAAACCCAAAACCCCAAACCCTAAACCCTAAACCCTAAACCCTAAACCCCAAACCCCAAACCCTAAACCCTAAACCCTGAGCCCGCAAGAAGGTCAACAACTGGCGCCTGGTTTGGGAGGCGCGTGCTCTTCTGGTTTCCCACTTCCGGCCGTTGAATCGAAGGAGCAGTCTAGAAGACCTTCTGACTTCGGCTTTAAGGGACAAAGAGGAGATGGAGGTTTCGGGTTCAGGGTGAACCCTAAACCCTAAACCCTAAACCCTAAACCCTAAACCCTACACACGAAGGAGTCTACCAGGGAGTGCCCTTGGAGCAACCAAATCGCCAAAGGCGGCCATAGCAGAGCGGCAGCAGAATCAAGCGGTTGAGCAGCTGACCGGGAAGCTGAGGTCACCGCCTGAGTTTAGGGTTTCGGGGTTATAGGGGCTTAGGGTTTGGGGGTTTAGGGTTTAGGGTTTAGGGTTTAGGGTTTAGGGTTTAGGGTTTGGGGGTTTGGGGGTTTAGGGTTTAGGGAGGTTTATGAGAGTTTGGGGACCCTGAGGATGGAGGCAAGTTGTCTAAGTCTTCCAAACCCTAAACCCCTAAATGCTAGATTTTCCATAGCTTGCTAGCGCCCCAGTCTATATCCCCCTTGCAAATTACTTTTTGTTTATATAAAACCCAAGAGAATATGAACAATATTATTTGTATTCAGGTTCTACGGGGAGTATAGCAGTTGAACTCCTTTGAGCGTTAGGTTCCCTCATAAGCCCCCTTAAGGATTGTTGCCGGGAAGCCTACAGTAGCTAGGCGTCTGTTACCCTTATACCTTTAGAAAGCCCCTAGATACCCCAAAAAAGAACCCCCCCCCCCTACAAAACAGAAACCCTGCTTAAAGAGACCATCTACCAATATGACATATACCCCTGTATACCCCACACCCTACAAAAAGGCAAATGGACAAGCAAAAGAACGAGATGATCAACCGGACAAAGGCCTGAGCTTGAATCTAAGGGACCTTCATGACCTCCATCCGAACCCTAAACCCTAAACCCTAAACCCTAAACCCTAAACCCTAAACCCTAAACCCTAAACCCTTGATTCGGTGTTCTTGGAACTGTGGGGGGTGTTCCCTCCCCTGGTCTGAGGTCCGAGGTTGGTGCGATTCTCTCTTATTTCTGCATCGAGTTTGGGGCATTGGGGAGTTACCCTAAACCCTAAACCCTAAACCCTAAACCCTAAACCCTAAACCCTAAACCCTAAACCCCAAAACCTAAACCCAAGCCCTAAACCCTAAACCCCCCAGCTGTGGTATAGCAGTGCAACATCCGAATGAACTCCGGAAGAGATTCATGAATCATGGGTTTGGTGTTTCGGGTTGAGGGTTAGGGAATTTGTGGTTTAGGGTTTAGGCTGTCGGCTGTCATAAGCCATATATGGAACGCAGTTTAGGGTTTAGGGTTTTGGGTTTTGGGGTTTGGGATTAGGGTTTAGGGTTTAGGGTGTAGGTCCTGATGCGGGGCGCCGAATGACAAATATCGAAGCCCCTCACCCTCGGATCCTCTGGGCCCAGGACAAGATCTTCCTGGCCTTCTCAGGCTTTTCCGCGGGGGGGCGAGAAGGGGTTTGAAGGGTTAAGGGGGGCTTGCGGGCTGAGGGGCCTCAGGGATGCGGGAGTGTGGGGCTGGTTTGGGGTTGCAACCCATTATTCTTGGTGAGTGGTTTTGGCGAGAGTGCATTAGGCTGAAACATGTGCGTGAGAAAATCGAGTTCCTCAAGATCCAGCCCGTGCACTTGCCATTCGCCGAAGCCTGATGTGTACGAGTATGTAACTTTTCTCGCTCAAGATGTGAAGATCCC